CCGCCGCGACCCCCCACCGCGCGCTCTGCGACATGAAGGTACCCCGGGCAGCCACCCCCGCCGCGACCCCCCACCGCGCGCTCTGCGACATGAAGGTACCCCGGGCAGCCACCCCCCACTGCTGGTAGGACCTCTTGTGAGTCCCCACGGGTAGGTACTACCGCCCTGCTTATTTCTGCCGTGAAGCAGTAATGCGTTTCGGTTTGAAGGGTGGGGCAGCCGTTGTAAGTGTAGAGGAATGATACTCCGCCCCGCTTAGCTGCTTACTTTGAAATTATAGTAATGAGCAGCTACGTTAGTCAGTCAGTGGTCAACGTGCAGCGATCCACCGCGGTCGATGACGCGAATAAACATGTAATTATATGCAGTGTTTCATTGACCACTGCGATGAGGTTTCCGGAGGAGAGCGCACAATAAACCCTCAACATCAGCAAACCTCACATAACTATACTTGACACCTTAAAACTTATATGTCAAGGTGGGTGGTGCATTTACGTTGTAGATGTCTATGGGCTCCAGTAACCACTCAATACCAGGTGGGCTGTGAGTTCGTCCACCCAGCAAAACTTACCGTCGCGATTTGCAGGTGATCGAGCCGTACAAGCGCGTGCTGTCCCACGGCGGCTACGACGCGCACGGAGCCGCACTCATCGTGTTCAGCGCGTGCCACCTGCCAGACAACTCGCGGCCCGACTACACCTACGTCATGGACAACTTGTTCTTGTGAGTAACTGCCGCGTGACCCCCCGCGTGACCCCCCGTGACCCCCCGTGCCCCCGCGTCACTCCTCTTGTGCTGTGCAGGTACGTGATCTGGACCCTCGAGCGGCTGGTGACGGAGGAGTACGTGCTGGTGTACCTGCACGGCAGCGCCGGCCGCCGGAGACTGCCCGGCTTCCACTGGCTCCACGAGTGCTATAAGCTTATCGACAGGAGGTACGTACAACTGATTGCTGTGCTTCTGATTCATTAGTCCCCCCCCCCTACTACTGGAGGGTCCGATCCACACATCCCTTATATATATATTTTTAGCATCAGAAGTGGAATGTTATAAAGAAATTATGAAGTTAACAAACGATCCGTATAATTACAACTTAGATCATATTATCTAACTTATACAAGTACAATCAACACGATTATTACTAAACCGATTACTGCAAACTGCTACAATCAATTTACAAAAATAATAACAAAATGGCTTACGTGACCTTGCTAGCAACCAACACTGATTATCGCGAGTCGTCCGTGCACTGCGAGTGTAACGAGCAGAATGTGCGGAATTATCTAAGTACCCTCCTTATATAGGTTTGCCGAGTATTCGATGACGATGTTTCGGAGGCTCCTTACTACAATATATATTTTTTTTCAGATTACGCAAAAGCCTGAAGCACCTGTATCTGGTGCATCCGACGTTTTGGCTGAAATCGTTTGTGATACTAACCAAGCCCTTCGTGAGGTGAGTCCAGTCTGTATGCCCCCCGGACACTGCACACAGCGACCCCCTGGATACAGGAGATCGGAGGAGCTACCGGCCCCCGAGCGTCCGCAGGTGTTCCAACGCGGGTAGCCCCACCGCATCACGCGAGGTCGTTGACCCCGCCAGTTGTCATTGCTACATTGCGTCTTATAGTTACCTCAGTGCTGCGGTGTCATAAAAAGCACGCCGTGCATTTAAAATTTGTATCTTTAAGAGTCGTTAAAACGAACGTTGGCTAAGGTTGTAACTATACTTGAGACCTTAGAACTTATATCTCAAGGTGGGTGGCGCATTTTGCATCGTAAATGTCTATGGGCTCCAGTAACCACTTAAAACCAGGTGGACTGTGAGCTCGTCCACACATCTAGCAATAAAAATAAAAAAATTAAAAAAAGAAGCCAATGTCTCACTAAGTGCTCACGAATGCTCACGGATGTTCACCCTTCTATTTTATTTCAGTTCGAAGTTCTTCAAGAAACTGAGCTACGTTCGTAATCTACAAGAGCTGATGCAGAGGGTCCCGGTGGAGCCCAACGCGATCCCGGAGACGGTCAAACTCTACGACGCCATGAGGAACTGAGGCCAACGTTGCGGCAAATGTTAACGTTTTATGAGCGGCAGAATCTACCGCGCGCTGGTCCCGAGCGCACGGAGCCGCGAGTGTGCCATTCTACGACACTAAAATTGTAACCACATAACTAGATAAATGATAGCTTTATGCACACTTAACATCAAGCGAGCTGACGGCTTAGTGTTGTACGATCGTGGTGCTCTAGAGACTATTTTAGATAACTCAGCTTTGTTATGATTTAGTGGAAGTTTCCTGTCTGTACTCAATCTGCAAGACCAGGCGATGATAAGTGATGCCTTCATTGACGGGCCACTTACCGACAGACGTGCAGTCTGCTGCCAAGCGTGTCGGGACTCGTGTTACTAATATTCATTATCAAAAACAATATTTTAGCACACAAGTCATCGCTTATAATCAACTGAGTCATCTACTGTACTTAGTAATGAGATACAAACTTGATTTAATTAATTTAGAAATCATTTTATCTACACAACAAAAGCAAAAATGTTTATCAACAATGAGTATTCTACTAAACAAGAAGTGAAGACATTCCAGTGTTAGGATATATAAGTGACCACTTACGGTCAGTCGCAAAATCGCCTCTCCGCTCCACCCCCCACACATAAGTGTTGCCAGTGCACGCGGCGAAAGCGGTCGCACGTTGGCAACCCTACAGCGACTACAGAAACATTATCTCTAGTTGATTAATATCTCAAATTAATCATCTTCATTTCATTTCACTCCATATTATCATTTTTCATAAAAATATAAATATTTCCATTTTATATTATATAGCTGAGTCCTGCGGCGTCACCCGCGGTTTTTGTAGTACCGCGGGTGACGCCGCGGGGCGAAGCAAGTTTAAAAAAGTTGCTGCTGCTACTGTGGCGCCGGACTCCTCACTCGCCACTTCGCAATCAGTATTATTACGCATTCAATTATTGTATCTCCAATCAATTTGAATCTCATTCTATATTGTGTTCTTTTAAATATTTATTTTATAGATGAAACTAGCGACCCGCCCTGGCTTCGCTTCGGAAACTCTAATTTATTATTGATTTCTCCACTATTTAATGGATGTTATTATACATATAAACCTTCCTCTTCAATCACTCTATCTATTAAAAATAAACCGCATCAAAATCCGTTGCGTAGCTTTAAAGATTTAAGCATACATAGGGATATAGGGACAGAGAAAGCGACTTTGTTTTATACTATGTAGTGATAAATGATAGTTGTTTATTATATACTTTATATTACTACATCACTGCGTCGGTGTGAGGGGCGGGGGGACGGTGATTAGGTCAGATACCAATCACCTCGCGATCAACAAGACAATAAGATTAGACCCTGCTGGGAGTCGCAGGGCCCCCCAACCCCCCTGTGTCAAGGTCCCCCCCCTACGTCGGTCCCACAGACCCCGCGGCGCCGCTGTGTGCTGCTACACAGTATACCTAAGCTTTAAATCGTTCATGAATTTAATGAAGTACCTGTAATTAAGCCATTTTGTTTGATAAGAGAATAAATAATGCACAATGAATGTAGATTTATTGTCTTTTATATAATTTAGTTTTAAGTTAGTTAGTGGGGCGCCGCCATTACTTTATTACAATCCAATGCACAGATCAGTTGTGTGCTCACTTGTTGTGGGAGAATCTACGGAAACTGTACAACGAATGATTATGGAATTGTTAAGTGTTACATTATATTTACCTTTTTTTTACATAATGTTTATTTAATACCGAGATTTAACTCCCACAATACTCGCGCGGATCTCTGAACGACAACACTGTTCATTCCTGAGTCATTCCAGACACTGAATTAGTGTAGCAATTATAGTGTTATTACTGTACACAATATTTCCGTACTTTTAATCTGAAAGCGGTCTCATAGAAGTGAAATCAATATACAATATTGTGGGCACGTCTGTCTGTATCCCTCCATATAGTGCGTGCGTGCGTGCGTGCGTGCGTGCAAAGGGATATTAATGGCGTCCCATAGCCCGAGAATTTCGCAATTATTACAGGACTTTACAGTAATGTCGCTTTTAAGTCGGAAGATTTGAATGCGCCCGTGGACCGCAATAAAATAGCTCTCTTGTTTTTCGTCAATGGCAACCTTCCTGTCGCGTCATTGCATTCGTTATTATTTGTAAAATTTCTAGATTGTGATCCAGTGAACGGTAAAAGTATTATGAATCGTTTCTAAGAATGTAATCTGTATTGTAAATTATATAATTATTCTTAAATAAACTTATTGTTATATAAATATGATTTGATAAGTTATGTTGTAAATAAATGCATTTGGAATACGTTTTGTGTTTGACTTGCGTAGATTCTAATAGTTTACTGCTAATCATGGTAACGTGTGTGCCCCCACCTTCATTGAGGCGTGAGGTCGAACCCGGTTGTACTGCCCCCACCCTCCTGCTTCACCTGATGTAGCCAGATTAGTGTGTGATATATCACCACTTACTATAAGTCGGTAACACTGTTCTAACTATCACTACAGTGTGTATATGAAATGCAATTGAATTTTTTACATGCAGCTACTGAACTATTGTCGGTATAAGCAACGCTGCGGGAAATGTGGGTAGATTTTCATTTTACTGGTGGTAGGACCCTCTTGTGAGTCCGCGCGGGTAGGTACCACCACCCTGCCTATTTCTGCCGTGAAGCAGTAATGCGTTTCGGTTTGAAGGGTAGGGCAGCCGTTGTAACTATACTGAGACCTTAGAACTTATATCTCAAGGTGGGTGGCGCATTTACGTTGTAGACGTCTATGGGCTCCAGTAACCGCTTAACACCAGGTGGGCTGTGAGCTCGTCCACCCATCTAAGCAAAAAAAAACTTTAATTATGACATCAGTCCCATTCTGTAAACTGGTTATCGTTCGAAGTAGCCTAGTGGTCCGTGCGCGTGTGGGTTCAGTATGCTTAGTGTGAGTTTTTTTACTTTCTCGATAGCGTAAAAGTTAACCAGCCCAATTTTGTATGCAGTTGGAGCAGCGCCCCTAGTAAACGATCTCATTCCATACAAATATGAGCTAACTTTTACGCTATCGAGAACGTTAAAAAATTCGCACTAAGCACACTGATCCATCCACCACCGGTTCATAGTGGTCATTCGTGAATACGTCGGACACGTATGTCTTTGATCAGTGGCCGGCGCAGCAGTACCCTCGCTGCCAACGAACACGCGACGGTGACAGCGAATGTAAAGGCCTTTCTTATAAGATCTCTTTAATAAAAACATGTTTAACTATGTCGAGGGGTGAGCGACATTTCCCTTACAACATTTATCTTTGTAATTAAAGGTGTTTTATTTAGTATAAACAATTTTTTTTTTTTTTTAAATCACGCCACGCTAACTGGTCCCGTGATAAGTTCGTAAAGAACTTGTGTTACAGGTACCAGATAACGGAAATAAATGTAAGATTTTTATTATACACATACATATATATAATATACATCCATAACCCTGGAAAAGACATTTATATTTATCATACAAATATCTTTCCTTCGCGGGATTCGAACCCGCGACCCCCTTGTGTAGTGACCATGTCACTTACCACTACACCAGACGGCCGTTAAATTAAGTTTTAATTGAACTTAAATTAAGTTTACTCTATTCAAATAGCGGAAGAAGTTTTTTAGAACTTATATTTCACTCCTCGATATTGTGTATTTTATTTTATACAGTAGATTGGGGGGAATAGAGACTAGAGTTAGAATAGGGATAAATCTGGGATGTCACAATACTTTTGTTGAGTTGTTAGATTTTAAAAAAAAAGTATTTGAGAAAAAACAAAAAAAAAAGCCTGCTGAGTTTGTTTCGCCGGTTTTTCTCAGGACTGTGGCTTTTTTTGGAACCGGTGGCAGAGCTAACATTGCTAATTATATTTTGACATTCAACAAGTGTGTCATACTGACATCTAAGTTGAAATAAATGATTTTGAATTTGAATTTAACTTAGTTAAACTGAAAATGACTTTTATTTAGTGTTTAAGAATATTAAACAGCTTAATTTAGTCATCAAAGTTTTGTAATCTATTAAAGATTTATCAATTAAAAAGTTAAATACCTAAAGTTAGGTAAAAACTATTGTTCCCATACGTAACCTGATTCACTCCAAAATCAAGGTGATTCGGTTCAAGCTAGTTTTTTTCAGTTTTTGTGTATATCTTGTAATGAACTAGGTATATACCGCATCGTATATAAAAATGTAAGCCTCCGGAACCATTATGATCTCCGCTTTATTAATATAACAAAAAAAAAAACGATAAAAATCAATGTCAAACTTAAAAAGTGTCTTGATTCCCCCCATTTTCCAGTATCTCTGATGAAAATTTTTTTAATCTTTCCTTTTGGCAATTAATTTTCGACTTCTTCTAAATAGGTTGAAGTTTTTCTATTTAGATGTGGTAGTGGGCTTTTTAGTTGCCACATCTATACTAATATTATAAAGAGGAAAGATTTGTTTGTTTGTTTGTTTCGAATAGGCTCTGAAACTACTGGACCGATTTGAAAAATTCTTTTTCCATTAGAAGCCGACATTGTCCCTGATGAACATAGGCTACTTTTTTTAATTTTTTTTTATTTTATTTTTTTGTTTCATGTGTGTTTAAAGTTTCCGAAGCGAAGCGAGGGCGGGTCGCTAGTAAGTATATATTTTGCATTTGTAACTGGCGGGTAGTAATTAAAACACGGACCTCATTAGTAAGACATTTATTACACATGTACCGGCCGCTCTTGCCGCAGCTACCTTATATATTAATTATCATACGTTAAAATCTCAATAAAATACAACAATTGACGAAATCGTATTTGATTACATTTCTATTATTATTTGGTATTATCATTAATAAATGAGATTATTTAAATTACTATATAATATAATGATATAAAAATTGTTATATTAATAATAATTGTAACAAAAATTAACTGTTCATAATTTGTTTTGAGGCAACACGAGTAAATGCTTTGGGAACGATTATTTTTTATATTTTAAACAATTCGATTACAATATTTTTTGTTAGGAGATGAGCAGATATTGTTTTTAGTGTTCGTCGCGTCGTGGACAGCAGTGACCATTGAAGCACTGTGAGGATCAGAGAACACCGCCATCTACCGTAAAATGCTAAAAACAAATTATTTACAGAATTTTTTATTCATATAAGAATTCATAGAACATCTCTGAATCGATATAAAGTATATTCGTCTCGCTCACACGAGCGTTGTCGTGCTATGTGTGCGAACGAGACGAATGTTTTGCAACTTATTTCAAATAAATTAGTCCGGGTCAATATAGGTTCTGATTGAACTGTAATTAATAAAGAATACATTATTTAAAGTAAATTGCCAGTCGAGTCGGAAACAAAGTCTTCTTATCCTTAACCCCGCGCTAACAGCTGCCATTTAGCGCATCGGCAAAACGCGCATAAAAGGCGGTACAAAATAACTTCTTTATATATATTTATACGGAGATAGAGCTACCACAGTCGCAATAAGTTTTCATATACAGTCGGCCGCGCGTCCGGCGCCACATGAGCTGCACGTAAGGCACATTTCATCATAAGACTCTCGAATCAATGCTGAGATACAAGAATGATTTGAACTAATATCAGTGGGGTCACGTCGGCACCTCGCGTCATGTCGCTGGGGGTAACATTAAAAAAAATTTTTTTTTTTACTAAATTTCAGAAATGAAATTTAAAAAAAATAGCTTTTATTTTTGAAGAAAATCGGTGGGAATTGTTTTCTTGTAACATTTAAGCAGGACGCGGGTGCGACTGTGCCAATGCGGCCACGGACGCGCGACACTAAGCGATCTCTCAGTCGTCGTCTGGACAACAACACAACACCCATAAATACAAATATAAAGAAACATATATATAATTTTTAATCCTTTATTTTAGTAGTAACTTTAAAACATCAATATATTAGTTGCACTCAAAGTTAGTCTGTGTATACACTGCTTAATTAATTGCACCGACACATACACCACATGTAAATATTTGACTTGTTATTCAACACATAACTCAGTGGGGTGTTAACATGTGAGGGACCCTAGAGCAGTGTGGGCCTCCGCCCCTCCAGTCCGACAAGCTCTACATCGACCTAGTCCTGCCGTGTCCTGGTGAGGTCAACCAAAAACCTCACTAAAACAACAACTCGCAAAACCACAGACAACAACAACAGCTTTTTATAAAAATAGATATATATTAGTCAATAAATTTGAATAGTCAACATGGCACACACAATATTTCCTTGGAACGTTAACAATAAGCTCTGCGGATGTCGGCGCCCGCGGACCACACTCCACTACTACACTAAACATCACTAAGCAAATAAGATAATATAATAAAAATTTATAAAACTGCCATCTGTTGTCAAAATATTAAAACATTTTCTTAATTAATAATATAAATTTTAAAATAACAAAAAAAATTGTACATTAAAAAAACACAAAAATAGCTCGCCATTATCAATGAGTGAGGAGCGCGGCGGGGGCGCAGTCCGGGGCGCCCGGGGCCACTTTGTGAATAGCTTAATGTACGAAACAGATTTAAGACTATGGCTCAATTTATTTTTGTATGGCGATCTGTAACAATGCCTTTTGAATTTCATAAGTTCCCATTTATAGAGCCCTATTGAGCCGCACTGTTACCAACCGTCGTCCGGGAGACACTGGGCCGTGCTGTCCGGGGACATCAGCGCTAGCGCACGCTTGAAACGGGCCAATTATTTGTTTACCCAAAATCGACTTTAGATAAAACCTTAGATCTGTTCGTATTTTCATAAGTTATTATATTATTCAATAAAAACTATGAGTCAACAAAGCTCGACACAGTATTGTTGTCTTAAGGCCTCAGCTTTGAAGCTGCTTTTAGGAATGAAACTTTTATATAAGAACTTTTATATATTAATTAAAAAGTGTACAAAATATGAACAATTCGTGCGTTATTTCTTACAAGTTGGTTGAATCATTATGACACATTACTCATAGTTTTTAAGAAATAAAGATAAGTTTTTTTTTTATAATAAAAATGACATCAAAAACATTCAATAAATTACAGTTAAGGCATTAGTTTAGACACCTAGTTCACGATTAACGTTTAGCACCTTACGATTTTCTACCAATTTAGTAGAAAAAAAAAACCTAATGTTTCTACTAAGTTCAGTAGAACACAATGAAAACCTTAAAAATAAGATCTACACTCGATTCTTAACGACTAAGCACGGATCATTGACAACAAGCACAGTCCTTGACAGGTGTCACGGGTGACAGCTGTCAACGCACGAAGCACGCCACGACAATTTGCGTCATTTACCTTCTAGAAGTTGCCGAATTTCTTGGTGACGGTGGAGCTGGTCTCCGATTTGTGAGAGCTGGTCATTACGGACTTCCTTTCGATAGTCTCCGAGGTGATCGTTTGCTTTGAGATCCTCTTGTCCAGGCTGTCGATCTCCTTCGACAGATCCGGCTTCTTGATCTTCGTCACGTTGCTGGTGGTCTGGTAGTCTGACGACTGGAACTCCGACGGCCTCATGAAGGAGCGGCTCGTGTCCGAACTGAGCTTGGACTCTAGCGTGTTAAACCTCGAGTCCAGGGTGCTGTACCGGGAATCGCTGTCGAAGGTCTTCGAGATTTCGTCGATCCCGTCCAGTTTGATCGGCTCGTACTTGGTGCTGGTGGAGGTCAGGTTGACTGGCGACGAGCTGTATATCTTCGTTGTAGTGATCTTCTGGGTGCCGTTGGGTATTTCTTTGACCTCCGTGGTGGTTTCCTCCATGTAATTGGGACCTCCGTAGCTGTCGCCCTCCTTGGCGTAGGGCGAGGCCATGCGCTCGTAGTCCGGCGTGGCGGCCTTCACCAGGTCACTGGAGGTGGTCACGTAGCTTGTGCGATCAAACTTCGGAGTGGATGTGAATGGAGATTTCACTTCCTGCTTGAATTCCGTTTTGGAAAACTCCGTCTTCGGGAACGACTGGTAAGATTCACTTTTGATTGAGTATTCTGAATGTTTGGTGCCTCCGGGGATGGACTCCGTGGACCTCTGGTGCTCCGAGAACGTCTGTCCCAAACCGTCGGAGGGTTTCTTCAGGGTGGAGTATATCGGCTCGGGGTGCTCATCGAATTTAAGCTCTCTGGCGTTGAACTTAGGGCTCAGGGGTGTCCTGGGCGCTTCGTAGTCCAACTTCTCCTGCTTGTATCTGTACTGGCTGGTCTCCTGTCGCTCGGTGGTGGAGTGCTCGGCTACCGGTCGCGGCGTGTCGTACATTCGAGTTTCGTAGCTGCAAATTCCATCATTCATTTAATTATTCAAGGTTAATTTTCGTGAATGTTATTAAAATGGAGCGAACAAGTGAAGCGGGAACACCGACACCAAGCCACATGCGGTTTAGTTACACCATGTTAGTCTGCACACACACAATTAGAGGAACTACCGTCACCCGTGGCGCGGAGGGTGAATGATGAGGGCAGTGGTCGGTGTCCGGCCTGATGATGCAAGGACTCCAGGAGCAGTCCGCGGCGCCGGGATGTGAGACGATGTGCAAATGAATGGAAAACGTGCGGATCGGAAGCTGGAGATGTAGATTTGATCCCTGTATTTTTTCTCCCATAAAGACTAGTAAATCTGTCATTGCGTCAGAATCAATATGACTTCATTTGCAATATGCAAGTCCTTTTGTTATATACCACCCTTGAACCAAGTAAATATCCCAAGGCAGTACACGGCTTGCGAGACTAAGATGTCAGGGTAACTACCAATAAATACACTTAATTATCCCCTCAACGTTATTAATTTCCAGTAATTAAATTCTCTCGTGATACTGCACGATGCCTAATGCTTGGCGTGTTCACTGTACGCGCCGTGAAGCGTTCTCATGAGTGCTCACAGTTGAAGACCTATCTAGAAGCCGCTTGCCAATATGAGATAGACTTATATTTCAATCATATAATTGGCGGTTACATAGCACCGTGTCATTGTTCCTCCAGGCCGGTTTCCGTCGGGGGTGGGTGGTTTAGCCTGATGCGACTTGCCTAGTACAATTCAATTCAATTAGCAGGGTGGTTGCCCACTGAGTTTCTCGCCGGATCTTTTCAGTGGGTTGCGTTTCCGATCCGGTGGTAGATTCTGCGAAGCACGGCTCTTGCTAGGGCCAGTGTTAGCAACACTCCGGTTTGAGCCCCGTGAGATCACCTACAAGTTAGGGCGAAGCTGAAATAGCCTCTCAAGGCTATCAGCATAGGTAGAAAAAAAAAGCTGGGTGAAATAACCTCGCGCTTCATCTCCAACAGATCGCTAAACAAAGTACCGTACGTCGGAGCACAGGGCCTGCTCTCCAGCCTCCCCCTACCCGCTGTAAGGGAAACACAAAACAACCAACCCAAATTAAGTAGCGTTGTCCTCGTACTTTAGCGTTATCCTCCTGGGGGGCGGCGGCGGGGGCGTCTCCCGCTTGTAACGGACCGTGTGTGGCCCGGGGTCAGCACCGACAAGCAACGCGCTACGCACTTCCGGCAGACGAAGGCTTTTCACGACCACCGTCTCGTCGGAGGCGCTCGCGCTAATATCGGTTAGGATCGCATGCAATTGAGAAATATTACGCTTTTTTAGTTTAGCTATTCGAAGCTGCATTGTTAAGTTTAATATTAAATATCATTTCTTGTGTTTATCGATTGAATTAATGTAAACAAATATACGTCAATAGTGCATAGATTGTAATCTGTTAGCGATGTCACTGTCTGATAACTTTATTATTCTATTATCCGATGAACACAACAGACAATACTGCGTATACAACACCAGCAATCAATCAATAGTACAGTTAGATCTAATTGTACATTAACTAACAGAAATAAACGAGGAGCCGACTAATTCATTTTCAATCAAAATCCGAAAAGTACTGTTTAGACAATGACAATTAACATCATTTTAAAAACATAAAATGCTTTATTCAGATTTGTGAATGATTTATTTCGGTAAATTCGATTGAAACATATTAGTTAATCGGCGTAAAGCAGAATAGAATTTAAATAAATGCAGTGAAAGTTTATAATTGTATAACAACACGCAAGTGGTACGCGCGTATTTACAGAACGATGCGTCATGTGTTTGAGCGATAAACGTAATTCTGTACTCGGATGTCTGACCGCGTGCCGGACACCGCCGGACACCGCCGCACACTTCACGACAACTCCAAAAATTTTTTTTATTGCTTATACGGGTGGGCGAGCTCACTACCCACCTGGTGTTAAGTGGTTACTAAAGCCCATAGACATCTACAACGTAAACGCGCCACCCACCTTGAGATATAAGTTCTAAGATCTCAAGTATAGTTACAACGGCTGCCCCGCCCTTCAAACCGAAGCGCATTACTGCTTCGCGGCAGAAATAGGCAGAGCGGTGGTACCCACCCGCGCGGACTCACAAGAGGTCCTTCTGCCAGTAATTACGCAAATTATATTTTGGCGGATTTTATTTTTATTACACGATGTTATTCCTTCACCGTGGAAGTCAATCGTGAACATTTGTTGAGTACGTATTTCATTAGAAAAATTGGTACCCGCCTGCGGGATTCGAACACCGATACATCGCTACATACGAATGCACCCGATGTCCTTATCCTTTAGGCCAAGACCATTTCACATGTAGGACATTCGACTGTATTCACTGACACCTTTAAATTGAACATCCATGTTATGTATTCCGTCTTTCTAAGTTCTGTTACTGACAAATTGAAAACAAACAAAATCGGACAAATATCATATATATATTAATACGTGAAGAAAAAACTTTGGACCCCTTTTTACGAAAATTGCGCGGACGGAGGAGTATGAAATTTCCCAAACTTATAGAGAATATAGAGAAAGAGTGCGGAATGCTAATATTTTTTAAATCAATAAAAAAACATTACACACACTACCATGTATTTGTGATACACACATATACTTAGTACAGCATTAAAGCTTATCAGTAGCTATTATATAACAACAGCCGAAAGAGTGTCAGTGAAGTGTTTTGTCTATGTCGATGTTTACTGACAGGGTGTCTAAAGTCGGACGGCAGTGTCCAGCCCGGCGGGCCCACCTCGTGCCCTACGTCCATTGCTGCGGACCGAGGGCTACGCATTAAAAACATTACATACTCCACAATGATGTGATTCAACTGAAATCGTTTTAAAAAATCTCAATTCACTAAAAAATATACGGCACAAAAACACGTTTATCACAATTAAAATCACGATGCGGCATAACCAGACATCGCTTTGATTTTAAATCAAGGCCAAGCTTAATTCGTTTAATATTTTGCAAGCTTCCTGGAAAGCTCGAATGAACACTTACTTATTCATCGTTCTGTCATTAGTCGAAGTTCTGCAAACGAGAGAAACTTAGTTCCAGAGATGTTAAGGTAACGTTGTTTGAATGTTCATCGACAGAAATAGCGCGCAATGGAAACTAAATTATTGGGGGCTGTTGAAGATGCGTATGACTGCCGCAGGGGGGTGGGGAGAGGGTTGAGTGGAACTTGTCCTGCCGCACTCCCGAGGAACAGACTACATTACCGCAGCTATGCACACGCAGCAATGGTTTGAGTTTGTATTTGCATTACATTGCGTGCATTTTTTTTTATCACTACCGTCTGTTTCTTTTTTTTGCTAATTTCTAACATCCAGCGTCCCGGGCGCCATTAAGCAGGCCGAATGCAGACAACATTGGAGGAAGCTGGTGCAAAAACTGGACCAAGGTGGTCACGACCCTCAGTAATGAGGAAACGACATAGAAGAAGAAGAAGAATATCAGATATTTTTTCAGAAGGGTTTGAAATTTGCGTGGCCAAGTAGATGAAGCATCAATGATATTAGTTCGGGACTGCGAGCCCCGGGACCACACTCGGGGCTCAGCACACGACTAATAGTTCTAGCTCGGTTGTTATCTTCGCTTACCACTTATTGTTGGAACAATCAAACAACGTTAGATTAACGTAATAGATATTCTAAATATAACAAGCACAACGTGCCCCGCCGGACTGCGGTCTGTGGACACATCATAAGAGGACATTCAACGTTATCAATGTCTATTTGAGTCCAGAGTCCATTTGAGTGAAAGTCCCAGTACGTCTGAGACAGATCTCCCACGACCTCTAGGGTCTTCGCACTGGCTTTTGTACCAGAGACAGTCTTGGCTCGTTAAGGGCAAATACCAAAAATGCATCCAAATATAATCAATCCCAAAGTCAGTCCCGTAACGCGGGTATACGACAAACATATGTGAGAGCACCGTGTTAGTTGAAACCGTTGTTACGAGGCGCTATTAATAATTCTACTATGAGCATGCGTAAGACTTTTTAAGACTAAATAAAATAATATACTATAGAAATAATCTAAAAATTACTAGTCAATTAACAGATACGGCTGCCATTAGTGATGCGAATTAATTAAATATTCAAAAATTAAAATTTACAAACCTTTGCTATTTTCTGGATTTTAGTTTTTGAGAGAGAGAATGATTACTATAATTCTTTAGATTCGTTTACATGTAGGCACAATTATCATAAGTTATTGTATCGAAAGGCACTTATTTAAAATATAAACTAATTTATATTGTTAATTAAAACTATTCATCTGTTTAGGATCCCAGAGTGGATGCGTGAAAAGAAAATAGAAATTAGATTAAAATCATATTTAGGTTATTCGAAGTATAGTATGAAAGTAATTTAGATATGATCTTTTTATTGAATTTGATTGTAGGTTGTGGCAGTCCCATACCGCCCTCCCGTGTCCCCCCAATGGGAGGGCGGGGCAGCTAGGACCCTGGCGGCTGGGGTCATTTGAGACGTGTCACGTGACCAGAAAATTAAATTAATCAAGAAAATTTGTTTTTTTTTGTATATCCAATTGCCGCGTGTAATCAAAATCATATCTAAATAAACACATTACAGTTGTCAAACGCTAACACAACACACAAACATTCGCCTGTGTTTGTTGAGGTCGTCATCGTTCAAAGATAAATAGACCCAATGCGTATTGTCATAAAGTTGAATTTGTGTCGACGACTGATTCAACAAGCATTGGTCAGTTATTTGGCGATACTGTCCGTGGGCGACCCCAGCGCCACGAGGTACCCCAGAGAACTGGATCAAATAACCAAATATTTTTTCCAGAAATTTTAGTTTTTTTTTGTCGACCGTACCTCGCAATATGTTAAAATACAATAATCGTATTTCCGTTATAAAAGCTTAATTATGTGCAATAATAACATTAAATGTTTCCGTTGTATTAGCGTTTGAATTGACAGTGTCAATGCACAGACAGTAGGGTTGTCGGCTGCGCTCACCGTGTCGTGAAGGCTTCGTAGTTCTGCTTGGGCGCGTCCGGCGCCGGACGGAAGCTGGAGAACGTCGGGCTGGTGGGCTGCGGGGGGGCGGGGCTGCTGCTGGGGAGGGAGGGGGATGTACAGTACAAGTGGACCTGGATTCTTGCGTTTGAGGACTGGTCATAGAATATTAAGTAGTTAACTCTTGTTTTCATGTTATTTTCAATATTTTTTTTGTCATACTGTTAACATTTTTTTTTTTATTCCTAGGTGTTTGCAGAGCTCATAGCCCACCTGGTGTTGAGTGGTTACTGGAGCCCATAGACATCTACGACGTAAATGCGCCACCCACCTTGAGATAATATAAGTTCTAAGGTTCAAGTATAGTTACAACGACTGCCCAACCCTTCAAACTGAAACGCATTACTGCTTCACGGCAGAAATAGACAGGGTGGTGGTACCTACCCGCGCGGACTCACAAGAGGTCCTACCACCAGCAAATTTAAATTTAAATTTAGCCTATTTTTCCGCTGTTTGTAAAATGTTGTAACATGTCGTAGTGTGTTATAAGAGATAGCTAGCTGTACATGCCTGTAACTGGCTTACATACCAGTACTTAATTTTATACTTATTAATTTTAAGCTTGAATGGGTATTGCTGTTTGTGTGTCTAAATAATTAAATAAATAGTAACACGAATATGTAAAACCACCGTACAACGTGGGTTCCGACAAGTTCTAGCCAATGGGTGTTTACTACAGGGCAATCGCACTTGATAGGATGAGACGTGAGGTATTCTAAGTTGCGGGGTGTGCTCAGCAGACGAAGGAGGGTGAGGGGGGTTGGGGGGCAGCTAGAGACAGCGGCTCACCTGTTCTGCTGTCCGTAGGAGGTGGAGTTGAGTCCGGAGCTGTGCGTGGTCTGCAGCAGCGAGCTCTGGTGCAGCGTGGTCTGCTGCGAGCTGTTGGGGCTGTACGTGGTGTTCGCGAAGCTGCTGTTCGGGGTCCGCACCCTGAGGAACACACCGCGGTACAGCAGCCGTGATCACAAAATGTCAGAATTAAAACTGCGTTGATATCACTTCGAGGATTGAACATGTGGACATTTTGAGAGTCCGCGCGGGTAGATATCACCACCTCGCCTATTTCTACCGTGAAGCAGTAGTGCGTTTCGGTTTGAAGGGTGGGGCAGCCGTTGCGACTATATTGAGATCTTAGAACTTATGTCTCAAGGTGGGTGGTGCATTGACGTTGTAGATGTCTATGGGCTCCAGTAACCTCTTAACACCAGGTGGGCTGTGAGCTCGTCCATATTCCATTCCATTCCACCACAAAAATGGTACTGACCGCTGGGGTCCCGAGGAGTCGCTGCCGTAGCCGGGCTGCGGGTCAGCGTCAGAGTCGTCAGCGTCGCTCCTCAGCTTGTACTTGGCCTGCCTGATGGCCGTCAGCCTGCCGCGGGCCTCCTCCAGTTCCTTCTCGATGCGGAGCACTTCCGACCTGAGGGACAGAGGGCAGCAGCTTAGGGGACAGAGCGGAAAGTTAAACCTATTTCCCACCGCATAAAAGTCGTATTTTTTTAATACGCTTTTATTAGCTTCAGACGTATGTATGTTTGTAACGGAATCTTTTTTTACAATAAAATCGTTTATCTTACACTACTTTTTAATTCAAATTTATTAAAATTTATTTCTATTTTTTAGTTGGATTTTCTATAAAAGCGTATTTTGTTAGTTTTCTTAAACTATTATTTATTTTATTTGAAAGTTTATTTGTAATAAATATAAATGGCTATATAAGCTATGCGCTTCGGTAACTACTTTTACTAAGGACTTTTTGGCGGGATCGCGTGGAGTGAGGTTCTGTGATTTGTTTTATTTTGTCTATTTAGTGTTTCTTCGGGTTTAAATGTGTAATAATGGTGATTTATTAACTGTTTAATATCTGTGAAAGTGCACAAATGTGGGAAAATGAAACAAAGCCACTGGACGTAACTTCTCGGCATCCTCCAAAAAGTCCACTGAAAATATCTTAGTAAATGACCACTATTTTATTAAGATTATATTTCATCCCATATCATTTCATTTAATTTCACTCCATATTATCATTTTTCATAAGGATGTGAATATGGATTAAAATAAGGCATGACTTAAAGGTCTTAGTTACCAGGTTTTTTTTTTATTGCCCTTATTACCGTCGCCCATGGACTTCAGCAATGCCAGGGGCAGAGCCAAGCCTCTGGCATTGCTTTGCAAATTTTTTTAAGGCATTTTATGACTACCAGGCCATAAAATGCCTTAAAACAACTTGTACTAAGAAGTGTACGTCTACTAAGGACAGTCGGGGCGGACCTGGCGTCGATCTCCTGCGCGATGCCGCCCACCATGCGGCGGTTGAGCACGAGGCTGCGCTCGTCGTCGCAGTGGATGGCGTCCCGGGCGGCGCGCACCAGGTTGTCCGTGGAGCGGATCACCTCCGCGCCCGCCGCCTGCAGCCGCCGCGTGCTCTCCGCCCCGGGGTCCGCCTTCACCTGGAACCGAAGCCCTCGCCGGGTTACTGTTATGTTACATTCAAATTCATTCTCACTCAATGTTAATTATATATATAGAACTAGCTGACCCGGCAGACTTCGTAGTGCCTCAATCGTTAAATAAAAGACCTCAACTTTTGTATAAAATAAACTTAAAACAAACAATCGGTCCAACGGGGGACACATCATCATCATCGTCATTCTCCCGCCCTTCTCCCAGACCTGGGGTCGACGCAACATGTTTTCTCCTTCTGTCATATACAATTCGCTCACTCCTCCCCTCTTACCCATATCGTCTTTCACGCAATCTATCAATTTCTTCTTAGGTCTACCTCTTCCTCTATATCCTTCCACATTCATAGATATCATTCTCTTACCAACCTCATTTTCATTTCGTCTCATCACATGTCCATCCCATCCCAAATGCGCACTTCTCAAAGGAAAAACAAAATTGTTATTTTTATTTAATTCAGGACATTTTCATATTTATCTACACTTTAAAGTGGACTTCTCTGGACTTCCACAAATAATTCACCAAAATTAGCCAAATCGGTCCAGCCGTTCTCGAGTTGTAGCAAGACTAACGAACAGCAATTCATTTTTATATATAGATATAGATATTCTGTAATAATTAATAAGGCGGTTCCATATTGGAGCCTGTAGTAGTGAGTGGTGGCGGTGCGCACCTTGCAGGCGACGAGGAGGTGCGCGGTGGAGGAGGCGACCTGCCTGGCGCTGGAGATGAGGCGCTCCTCGGTGGCGGCGCCCTGCACCAGCGCGTTGGCCGCCTCCACCAGCGAGTGCGTGGCCGCCGCCACCAGCCGCGCCGCGCTCACCAGCCCGCCCGACCACGACCCGTCGTCCGACGACATGGCGGGCCGGCGCGCCACGGCACCCTGGGAACCGAACGACACGTGTATACTGCACTGCAATCTATAACTGCCTTGTGACGAAATACCGTCAGATTTAAAACATTTATAACTGCAAAACTAATCGCACGCAAATAAAGATAGAGTACTCTACGAAAAGGTCATGTCTGTATGTATGTGTTGGAATATATTTTAAGCTCAGATAACTTGTAACAATAATATTATAAAGAAATGGAGGTCAAGGGAAATGAGCTAAGGCTACAAGCCATGTGACGACTGCGTATGTCCGCGTCGAAATGAGAACTCATTACACAGTTATGACATGGTATACAACGTGGCGGCATCACGGACCTGGTCGATGAGCTCCCGCTGCGCCGCGGAGGCAGCCCTGACTAGGGCCGACGTCGCAGCTATGATGGACTTGGCAGCTTCCAAGATCATTTCGTCGAAGTTCAGAGTTTCATCGGCTTCCTGGTGGAGGAAACATTTCAAGTCAGTTTTAGGGATGTATATTTATCGTTGTTGTCTCTGCCACGAAACATATATTAATACGTGAAGCAAAAATTTCATATCTCTTTTTACGAAAATTGCACAGACGGAGGAGTATGAAATTTCCCCCACTTATAGTTTATATAGAGAAGGAATGTAAAATGCTAATATTTTTTAAAATTATGATTAAAAATTACATAAAATCAATAAATAAATAAAAACATTACACACGCTGCCATCTATTTGACACAACACACATATATATAAAAACAGGTTGGGGAAAAAGATTCTTCGCATTTTTTTAAGAAAATTCGCAAAAAAAAATAATGTTTTATTTACATTTAACTAAAGCATGTAGGTACCATTTTGTTCGATAACTTTTTGCCATCTTGTACATTTTAATTACAATATTCCTATAAAAGAAAAATGTTGATAATAGTCAATATAAGTATGAAGTATTTTGACGAAGTATTTTGCGGATAATAACATGTACAGGTTAGGAATATTATGTTTTTTTTTTTATAATAAATATACTAATATACTGCTTTTATAAAACAAAATTTATTTCTATAAAAAAAAAGTATGAAATGAGTCGGACATCAGTGCCGGAGGGGGCTCGCTGTTCTCATAGACGACGGGCCGCGGTCGTAGAGTAATATGTTTGATTCCCGGGTGATCCAAAACAAACAACCAAGAATATCAAACATATCTCGACGACGCGCGGCTCTTCTTATAACTTTACTCTTCTGTTTTCATAATTGATGCTCTGTCTGTCTGGTTGTCCTCTTCTGTGCACGAGGTGCGGGAGGGTAATGCGGCGACTCCGCTGTGCTATTTGGGTTTTAAAATTTTCATAATTTTTTGAAGCCACTTCTGAAGGCCTCTTACGAAGAATAACATTATTTCATTATTAAAATGCCGATAACGTTTTTTTATTTTAATTATAATGTATTCTTTTAGGACACAAAATTTATTTATTACATCTTCTTTTATTGCCCTTGTAAATAGACGTACCTAAATATTATTTAGTAGTAAATATTTATATATAGTAAATATAGATATACATAGATTTCATTATATTTTTTTCGATAATAAACTGACATTTCACATCACTATTGCAATATGTCAAAACGGCCACCATAGCGTGCCGATAGTGTATATATAGATTCATAGCTGTACAGTTGAAGGCCGGTGCGTACACAAACTCAGTGGGGCGAGTGACCGACCTGCTTCACTGGTTTCCTGGGCCGGAGCGAGTCCAGCTTCTTGGCGGCCGCGTCTATGGAGGCGGCGGCCCCCAGCAGCTCGTTCTCGGCTATCACCGTGGGGTCGTCGGGGTCCACCCAGTCCGAACCTGCGCACGTTGGGGTAACGTCACTAACGTACGTGTGGGGGTGGTATGTGGATTCACATTGTAATAATAATAAAAATTGCATTTTTTTTGTATTGCTTAAATGGGTGGACGAGCTCACGGCCCACCTGATGGTGAGTGGTTACCGTCGTCCATGGACTTCAGCAATTCCAGGAGCAGAACCAAGCCGCGCGTCTCCCTAGTGACCTGGAGGGGGGTTGGGGGGGTTTACCTTTGAGCAGCTCTGCGGTGGCGATGATGTCGGCGACGGTGTGCGCCACGCGGCGGGACAGCTCCGGGAACTGCTGGCGCGCGGCGGAGTCCCCGGTGGCGGCCTGCAGCACGGCCTGCAGCAGCGCGCGGTAGGCCTGCGCCGCCGCCAGCCCGGCCCGCACGCCGCGCTCGCGCACCTCCGCGCTCTCCGCCGCCTGCGCCGCCGCCTGTGGACATCACCCCGACCTCTGTACTACCCACAAGCTAACACGAATAAATCTATACTAATATTATAAAGAAGAAAGATTTGTTTGTATTGAATAGGCTCCGAAACTACTGAACCGATTTGAAAAATTCTTTCACTCTTTGGAAGCTACACTAATTCCGAGCGACATGGGCTATATTTTTTTTAACAAAAATTAGAGATCCATACTAAAACTTTTGTTAAAGACCCGAGCGAAGCCGGAGCGGGCCGCTAGTAATAAATAAACAAATAAATAAATATTTACTAACAATCACGCCACGTTAACTGGTCCCGTGATAAGTTCGTAAAGAACTTATACCAGATAACGAAAATTAAATGTAAGATTTTTATTATAAACACACATAATAATATATTTAATATACATCCATAGCCCTGGAAAATACATTTTATGTTTATCATACAAACATCTTCGATTGGCGGGATTCTAACCCGCGACCCCATTGTGTAGTGACCATGTCACTTACCACTACGTTAGAAAAGAACTAAATAGTCACGGAGCTGGTGTGGTCCCTTTGCACGAGGTCACAGGTCTCCTCATCACAGTGCTAGTACAGGTAGCCTACCTTGCAACTGATCAACAGGTCCACGACGGTCTTCCTGCCGAGGTTGGCAGCGGCGGTGAGCTGGTCCTGCTTGTTGGCGTTCCCAGCGGCCACAGCTTTGGCCGTGGCCACGGTCATCTGTCTCGTGCAGCGGATCAGCTCTTCCGGAGTTGCGGTTGACTTCGGCGGAGACGGTGACATTAGGACCTGTAAAAAAGAAAGTATTTCTTTTGTATTTCGTTCTATTTTATCATCACTTTACAAATTGTTCTAAATTGAATCCTTTAATTAAATTGACACGTCCAGACCACTAGAGAAATTGCTAGTGCCAAGTTCTATCACAGCTGGTAATAGAACTCCAGATGTGTTCTACCTGTTCCCAATGAAAGCTGGAGCTAGCCAGCGTGCTCACCTCAATCTCCTGAGATATGGCTTCGATGGTGGACTCCAGTGCCCTCGTGCCCCTTGTGTGTTCGTCTTCAACAGCCTTGACGGTCTTCAGCAGTGACGTCACATTAGTCACCATCACCTGCAACGGTAACCGTTCACTTTAAAATGTCTCCGCTAAAAGTTCTGCAGCTTTAACAAAAGCGACAAAAGATCCGGTCAAATACATTGCTGTAAATACTCATTTAATTATGATGAAATATTAATTTGCATATAACATGCAGGAGTCAGACAAATAATTACATATTGGTTACCGATAACTCATTTACGAAGAATATTCCAGTAAAAGTATATACAGAAGAAATATATAATAATATGTAAATACAAAAGATAAATGTGAAGAATTTATAATAGAATTTGATTCATAAATTTATAATGTTAATGTTTTGACTGGATCTTTCTTGCATAATAGTGACCATTCAATGTTGGTTGGTTGATGATGCAAATGTTATTGTCTATGGAAATTATTTGTTGTTTAATTTCATTTTTGGAATATTGAGCGCTAATCTTGTTTAAAAATAAGTATCAAGTAACAAGACCGGCAGCAGAGTTGGATCTTGTGATAAAAAGTAATTCATACGATTATTCCCTGAGCCGTAGGTGTAAAAATATATGGAATTTAGTGCCAACTGCGCACAGAGTTCGAACTACATTTTAACACGACACAACATTTACATAATCAAAAACCCAAACCGAGTACTTAAAAAAATCAAATGTAGAAAGAAGCTTAAAGTCGTCGACTGAAAAAAGCTCGGAGTTGCCAACTAAAATAGTTTCCGCTATAAACCCGATGAACGACAAAAGCGTACATGCCCTCCTCATTGTGACCCATAAAGCTCTCGTATAAAAACACCATATGGAAAAACCGACCAGCTATGTAAAGACCCTTGCATGTCGTGGAAAAACTTAAATTTAATATTTAATCCGAGTATTACTTTTGCAGCAGTGGCAAATATGTTTGAAAAGTGAAGGCGTTGTCTTAAGGAATCCAGGCTTGTAGCGACTGAATTGGCTATTGGTAAATCTGCAATCACTTAAAATTGACTTCCATTACTTAGCTGCAGAACACACGCTATACAACTGGTCTCTACATTTTAGTCAGTTGATAATAATATATATAAATACATAATATAGTTTCTAGTTTTATGTTTGTCAATATTGGACTTCTGGAAGCTGTGACATGGCTTATGACGTTGACGTTTCGCTGTCAAATGTACGCAGAGTTGCCAGTTTAAAAAAAAATCGATTTTCAATCATCGTTTAAGAACATTCATTAGTTTAGTATGACAGAGTGTAACGCAAAATTGTGCTTTAGCGTAACATTGAGCTACGAAGCGCAACACAGCGGAGCGTCAAAATAAGCTAGCGCAATTTTAGTTTCTCACTTATTGTATTGTGTATTTGTAAATAACGTCAGTCGAAATGTGAGAAACACTTATGTAGAAACACTTTCACATACACACGCTAACAAATTAGCTTCGTCCCTAGTCAATAGGCAGGGTAGCAGTGTCAATAGGTCCCAGCTCACAACAATTAACTTCTGTTAGGGAACCGACTAAAATTCCCTTGTCCTAATCCACGCCATCTATCGGCATAATGAAGAAATGTAACGCGCCTCCTAGCGGGCGAAGAAAAGAACTGAGTCGACGTTCTGGCACCGCGCGCGCAATATTTAAAAAAGGCTATTTAATTCAAAATACTGTTTTTCGCAAATTTTGCTATTCAACTTGTGCGTGTGTCCGTGTGTCTCAAACTCCAGCATCCAGAACAGCGCCCCAGTTTAGTTTTCTGGGAATAAATTTAATTCAACAAACCTTGTTTACACAACAACTTCTATTGACATTCAATCGCGAGAGTGAAGTTTCTTGTATCTTGTTCAAACAAGTCATCTAATGTGTTCTTCATAAGTGTTTACCAAATTTCAATTAACGTTAAAAAGTGACGAAAGCCTGAAGCGATGGAGCGTCACTATCGTTGTCCCTTTCTAAAGGTACGCGCGTGAACGAGTCAGAACTATCGACATTCAAGGCGGTTTTTATTTTTATTCAAATTCGATAACTTATTCATTATATTATAATCGTCATTCCTTTTACAATCAAGTAATACATACGTATTATTACAACACAATAAAGATAATTATATAATTCGTCAGTTAATTTTACTTAACATTTCAATTAGATTTTATTTTGTAGACTGACATAGAATATCGTTAGGCGAAATGATATCAGATTTTTTTAATAATTAAAGACTTAATTACAAGATCAAATTCATCAAATTATAAAAAATTAAAGAAGAAAACATTAAAATAATTTAATTTAAAATCACAGTTAACACTTTTATTATAATATGTATCCATATATTTTTTGTGTAAACTTTTTAATAGTCCTGAACTTACTTGTACACAATAAGTTTATCAGTTAAAATGTACATTATTTATAATGAAAACGCCTTGATAATAACATGATACTAACGTCATGGGACGACGTGTTCAGTATTTAGGTACATAACCAACACCAACATTGGCTGACAGTGTTGAAGTATTACTACACTTTTAACCGTTTGACAATAACATTATACATGTCAATTCCTATGTCACACGATTAAGAAACCCACAATATCATATTTGTTTCATAATTACATAAAGACCGAACACGCAAAGCTAATATGAGCATCTAAGAGATTGATAACTAAAATTGATATTATGATAATGGTAGATATATTTCCTATCATTTATATGAAATGAGAGACACTATTTTCACAGAGAGATGCTGTGGTCGTCGCTCACTGGACCCCGTGGGCCAGTGTCGACATCGAGCTACTGGACCACACCACAGCTACGTACATTATGATAATAAAATATGATGTTTCTGAGCGACATGAATATACCTGTTTAAAGCATTTCAATAACAAAAATATACATGTGGTTTGTGTTTCAATTGAATTACTAAAGTTGATATAAAATTGACACTATTTTACTACATCTAAAGGTTGAAGGGAAACCATTTTGTAAGCTTCTCTTGTGGTGATCTTCAATGTCATTAACACTGTCAACATTACGTCAACAGCCTGCAAGTTGCAAAGCCCTATAACGCGCCCCGCGATTATTGTTGAGTGCTACCACTGCCACCGCCTCAGAGTGCGCCAATCAAAAATTATCTTTTATATGACATTATAATTAAAAAAAAAAACTATACGTACAGTTAAAACATCAAGTGCAAAACCAATAAGTATCACAGAACGAATGCAAAAGAAAAAAAACAACACAACGTGCAAAACAGTGTCAGTTCAGAATCAACTCTATTGCAATTGTTATAAGTATAGAATGCTTTAAACATATGAAGGGGGGTAATTGTCAAACACACTCGTGATGGCGTTCTAAGAACTGATAGAACAACACGCTTAATATCGGAAAAAGATGATTTTAATTTGCAAATTTATAATTGAAATTTTGCGGTATTCATCTCGTACTAATGCACCTTAGACTATCAGAGAAGAATTCTTTCGAGGTTAAGAATTTGATTGATTATTTGCAAGTCCCATTTAATTCGATATATTTTATGTGTTCGAACCGCGATAGAGCGAGCATCAGAATCGTGTTGGCTTTCATATAAAATGGGATTTATTGAACCAAAAAACTTGTCATAAATGCAAATCGACCAAGGCAACATCTCTCATAGCTCAACAAAGATGTGGAGCAAAAGACTTTTGATTGTGGCGCGATTGAAATCCCGTTTCATATTTGAGTCGACTATTATCAAAGCCGGCAATCTGACTTTTGGACAATTATTGGTAAATCAGAAAAACGAATTATTGACTTTGTATTCCATTGGCAGTTACAAAACTCTTCGGAACGACATCTTAGATAAATAACAGGTTAAGTATTAACCTTTATTTAATGCAGGTTTTGAACCGTATTCTTTGAAGGAGACGATTATATTCAAATCAATCTGTATTGACATATCAATAACATTTTTTTGTCCAAATGCACAGATTGCCACCTTTGATAATAGTCGACTCATTTAAGCCGCGTTCGAGTCGCGAATGAATGTGACGTCACAGTCGTGACGTATGCGATGACGATAGCGAGGGCGTTACACAATTGAACCCCGTTGAACAACACCATGCGCGCGTTACGTTAGTTCGCTTATTGTGGGTTAGACGGTCGATTTACGCATAGAAGTTGCGTGGCGCGGCGCCGGCGTCCCGACTAAGGTAGTTTTCCAATGACAGCACAAGAGTGCATTATTTATTTATTTAATACAAGGAGAACCAACAGCCAACTAACAAAGTATAAAAATATAACAAATAATAGAAACAAAAAGCCAATTAAAAGTCCTCACCAATATAAACAAATTAAAAACACTAGAGAAAAATATTATGCGGCATAATGCTCAACGTTGAATGTTCCAACTACAGCAACTCGAAGCGCAGTCGAGCACTCTCAAAAGTACTGCTCTCGCGTGATACTCGCAATCGATACCGACTCAGTGACAGAAAATTGACAAGTGTTTTTTCTTTAAGTTGGCATTGATCGACATTTTGTTTATATTATTGTTAGTGATATTATTTAATGTTGAAAAATTTTTTAAGGCTTTCGTTTCGTCGTAGTTTCTTAGAAATAATCAATGTTAATTAAAACTGTGCTAGCTTAGCGCACTCTGCTGATGCATTTGAAAACTAATTCACATTCCAATTAAGCTTCAGCATAATTCGGCGTTGTGCGTCACTGAGTCGCATTATGCTCTGTAATTGGAAAACTACCTAATTGTAATTGCCGGTTCGTTGCCGACAAGTCAGTTAAAATCGATTTTAGTGCACCACGAAACGACTATAAAATCGATGATATTATAACGATTACAATTGATTTAATATCTGACCGATTCGTCCTTTTTCTCTTGCACGTCTTCGACCTCCCGAAACCGATTGTTATGTATTTCGTCCAGCATCCTCAACTGCTCCTCCGCCCTGCTGTGAGGTCTCTTCCTCAGACTATTCCTGTACTGGACCACAGCTCGGAGCCTGTTCAGGTCTTCTTGCGACGTGCTCTCCTTATTCAGTATGGCTTCGTAGAAACTCCACCAGTTATCGATAGTCCCGAATTGGTTTTCCCTGTTTTTGAGGATATCTTCATAGATAGACCACCAGTTGTTCGCGTAATACTCTTGAGGGTACGTCCTGGTCAGGTCGAATATCTCCATGTTTCTGTGACTCCGCTTCAGAGTGTCGCCGCTGGTCTTGACGCTTTTGGTCAAGTTGTTCGTTGTGTTCACGTTGAGAACCACGTTCTTGTGGTAGATGCGGGCGCCGTCTGCTTCTAGAGTGTCTCTACCGTGGTACTCTTGCGTGTATTTCCTTATGATTTCCTTATAATACTTCTCTAAGAGACACAATTCCTCGTATGTGTATTTTGTGATGTCGATCTGCGTGTATACGTTCAGGATGTCTTCTATATTGACGACCTTCCGTTTGCGTCCCTCGACATGGACGTTCGCCAAAGCTTTCAGTCGCTCGATTAAAGGATCAAAGCCCTTGTAGATAAAGTCCTTTTTCGCAAATTTGATTAATTTTAAGACCATCTCTTCGTATTTTTGGTCGTACTCTAGATCCCGTTTCTTCTGTATCGAGCTGTCCACTTCATCGATGAAGGTCTGCAGGCGTGTCTTCTCTTTCTCGTATTTGTCTCTTTCCATCTTTATCTCCTCTAGAACGAGCTCGTGTCCGCTGAACCTTTGCAGCTCGCGTCGGGACTCTTCCATCTTTTCCAAGTTTCTCTTGGCTAGAGCTTTCCACCATTCCGTGTCGTCTTTGAACAGCTTCCAGAACTCAACTTTAGCTTTAATCGGATCAGCTGTCGGAGCCGATTTGACTTCAGGAGTGATGAAGATCTCGGTAGATCCTCTTGGTTCTTGAGGAGTCAGTATCATCTCCCGTTCGGGACTGTTCTTGATGGAGCATATGTTTATGGGTTTGACTTTTTTGATTTTGAAAACCGGACTTTTTAATTTAGGTTCGTCGGTCAGTTTGGGTTTTTTCGCTGGCACCGTCGCCGCCAGGGCTGCACTGGCCTCCGCTTCCGAGTCGAGGTGCTCAATGACCCTCGAGAGCGTGTGCATCTCCGTGTCCAGCTGGGTGCTGGCCCGCAGGCGCTGCAGGCTCTCATCCTTGCGTCTGCTGTCATTTCGATCGCTGAGCTGGAGACAGAGGTCGAGCAGCTTCTTGACCTCCCCCAGCAGGATGTTCTCCCCGTACTTGAGCACGCGCCAGTCCATGTCGACGATGCTGTACCTGGCGGCCGCGTTGTACCGCTCGTTGAGGCCCTCGTCCTCTGTGGTCCTGGTGGGGCGGCGCATGCGGCTCTCTATGTAGGCGACGATCTCCTCGCAGTCGTCGTGGAATATGGTCGGGGACACGTCGTCGTCCTGGCTGGAGTAGTCCAGGAGCTTGACCAGTTCCTCCTCCTGGTCGGATTGGAACAAATCGGTTTCGGAATCGCAAGAGTTGTAGTCGTTTCTCCCGTTAAGTGATCTGCGCTTTTGTCCCGGGAACGTGTTGCTATTGCCGGGCGCGCTGCAGCGCCGCCGCGGGGCTGGCGGCCGCTAGCGGAAACATTCACATTAGTGCCACAGAGTCCAATATTGACGCGCACACTGTCTCGACATCAACTACGCCTGCGCTCTACTATGACTCGGACAGACGAGGCATAATGACAAACAAAACAAGACATAAATAGATAGATATCTTATGGAATGATTCAATAAGAGCGAATTTATCTGTAGTCACGAGCGAAATGAAAACATTTAGCAACAACGATGTAGCTGAACGAACACTATGTACATACAGCTCGGATTAAAACGTGTCCCGGACAAACAGTAACATTGATAGTAGTCGAACCGGCTCTATAAAAATATTTTATTTAATTGGTTTCTACCCACATATTTGCACATTACAGCTTATTTACCTACACTGCCCCCCCACTATTCCGCTCAGGGACCGAACTCCAGGGTTACTGTCAAGCCACGCAGAGACATCAGGCTGAAGTGTCAGTGGTCCCCCCTTGGTCCATGCAGGGACCGAACTTCAGGTCTACCGTCGAGCCAAGCGGAGAGTGTCAGTAGTCCCCCCTTGGTCCTTGCGGGGAGCGAGCCCTCGGAGGCGCCAGGCGGGTGGTTACCTTGGCGGCGTGCTTGAGGCGCTGCATGTCGGCGCCGAGGCCGGGCTTGCCGCTGGCGGCGGTGGTGGCGGCGGCCAGGTCCCGCAGCGCGGCGGCCACGTCCCGCGCGGCGTGCAGCACCAGCACCTGCGGCTCCGGGCTGCCCGAGCCCAGCGACATGGCGCCCAGCTTCACCACCTCGCACAGTTGCACTAAGGACAGACCACTATTTATCAAGCAATCATTTCAGAGCAATAATTTGCGTAATTACTGGTGGTAGGACCTCTTGTGAGTCCGCACGGGTAGGTACCACCGCCCCGCCTATTTCTGCCGTGAAGCTGTAATGCGTTTCGGCTTGAAGGGTGGGGCAACCGTTGTAACTATACTGAGACCTTAGAACTTATATCTCAAGGCCCATATACGTTGTAGATATCTATGGGCTCCAGTAACCACTTAACACCAGATGGGCTGTGAGCTTGTCCACACATGTAAGCAACAAAAAAAAAAAGGTCGAAGCGCACCAAAGACCCCGAGCAAAATGGTAAAGGAATCAATGTTTATTTTTTATTTTTTTTTATTTACGGCCAATGGTTACAAGACCTTATAGCCTATCTTAAATGATCAATATATCATTAAGGGCGTGTTGCCCTCACCTATAGTGGTGACGGCGTTCTGCGCGGCGTCGGCCAGCTGCTCCTGGGTGCCGGCCGCTCCGCCCACGAGGGTCTTGGTGTCCTCCACCAGCGCCTTGGCCGTCTTCAAGATGTTCTCGCGGTGGTCAGAGAATGTGTCCGACTCCTTGTCCGACTGAAGAGTTCCTGGACGAGTACAGCATAATTCATTAAGTCCGGTTTTGAATCCAAGATGCTGCTGAGGATTTGCATAAATGTAGACAGGTTTTGATTCCTAAATAATTAATTTTTACTTTTTACACGCTTTATATTAGCTTCACTTGTATGTATGTTTGTATGTTTGTAACTGACTCCTTTAGACGCGATTTTGACCCACTTTAAACGGCCAGATTTCATTCAAACTTTGTAGATTTATCGAGGACCGATGAGAATACACTAATTTGATAAGATTATTCCATTATTCAATTTGCAAAATAAGATTTTTGCCAATTTATATCATTTTTATCTATAGTCGATAAGGCAGGAATTAATGTTAAAGTACTTAATAGTTTTAAAAATACGCTTTTATAGAAAATTTAACTAAAAAATGAAAAATAAATAATACATAGTTTCAAAAAACTAAAAAAACACGCTTTATATAAAATTCAACTAAAAAATAGAATTAATTAATTAAAATTTAATAAATTTAAATTGAAAATAGTGTAAAATATATTTTATAATCTTGTACGTTGTTACACAAGTTATCAAAATACAGTTAACTCCAGTAGGGTGACACAAAATAAGAGCAAAACACTGATAGGCATACCGGCGCTGGCGAACAGTATGGTGGTGTCCAGGTCTCCGATGATGGCGCTGATGGTGGCGGCGGCGTGGATGCAGGCCTGCGTGCCGCGGGAGCCCGCCTGCAGCCCGCTCAGCACCGACACCACCTGGGCAGGGAGGGAACCTGTACACCACGAGGTTCGGAGTACCACGCGCCACTATGTTACCGTCGCCCATGGACTTCAGCAATGCTAGGTGCAGAGCCCACACTCTCCACAAGCCTCGTTTGAAGAAGGACATTTTATAGCGCTCGGGAGACACCGTGGAGGAGAGCTCATTCCATAGCCGGATGGTACGTGGCAAAAAAGACCTCTGGAAACGCACTGTGGATGACCGCAGTGGCTCCAGGTAGTATGGGGGGGGGAGCACACACACACGTACCCTTTCGTTGACGAGCTTGGCGCTGTCGGCGACGGCGCGCTGGTTCTGCGCGATGGCGGACAGGCGGCAGTGTCCCCCCGCCTTGATCAGCTCCGATATGCTCTCGCCCAGCTCCACCACCGCTGATCGGATCCTGGACACGAAAAGCACACATTCGGTACCGCCACCACGCCAGAAGTATTTTATACCTTTAAACGAGCAATTCTTGTATATATATATATATCTAATCTGAATCTCGGAAACGGCTCCAACGATTTTTAAAAATTTTGTATACAGGGGATTTCGGGGGCGATAAATCGATCTAAATTTATTTTCAGAAAATGTTGTTTTATTCGTGTTTTCAATAATCAACTTTGTCGATAATCAACTTTATGACTCATCCCGACATCTATTGGCGAATAATAATACTATTTTTCATAATTGAGGGCAACTAACTGCTCTAAAGACACAATAACACTAAAGCCATTTCAGCAGATGGCGTTGTTAAGCCACCCGAAGCCAATGAGTGTTTGGTTTAAGATTAGACCAAGAAAATGAATTGTTTATTTATATTATTTGTGTCTTTTTAACTCACGTGTTCACTTAAAAATGCCTAAACGATCTTAGAATATTTCATAATTTTATCAATATGTAGTTCGTATTTAAATATAATTTATAAAAAACACAATTTATCAAAAAAAAACGTGTGGCACTCGGGAACTGCAGCGGTAAAGCTATTGCATAGCATTTTTTATCAACTTATGCAATTATAATTAGACAATGATAATTTAATATTAAAACAATAATAAAACAAGACCACTCTATATTAAACATTAATAAAAGCAAAACCTTAACTGTCCCCTTCACACTCATAAGCTAGACCGCGCGAGAGAGAGATGGGCAGACTTTTCATGATGCGCATGCAGTGTGACGTCACGCCACGGGCTTATTCACAAACACTACACAAGCGCAACGTGTGAATGTGTTGAACGCGAGCTACATGGTAGGCGGAGTGAGAGGTGGAAGGTTTTTTTCGTTACGGAATTTCATGATTCGGCTCTCAAGCCGCGCTCAAGGCTCGCGATATAATCTATGCAATAGCTTAAAAACGAGCAAAGCTCGGTCATCGTCTAGTTGACACTGTAGGACGGGCTGGTCGACCTGTTGGCGACGTCCCCGCTGGGCGTGGTGGCGGAGGCGCCGACGCTGTCCTGCGCGAGCTGCTCGTACTTGCCGCACATCTCGTTGCCGAGCTCCACCAGCCGCCCGGGCTCCGTCGCCGCCTTGGCCGTCTGTATCAACACAAAACTACGTTACCCTACTGCGTCTGCTGTGGCGCCATCTATCCGCTACAACTCACAAACTCTTCAACGACATTTAATTAACTTTCGAGACAACATATCGACGCTTGAAAGGCAAACGTGACTAAGCGACAACGCGTGAACTTTACAGTAGAAAATTAATTTGAAATATACATAAGAAATACCTGAAAAAAATATCTATTTTAACGAATCTAGCTGTAGGATTGAAATGATTTTAATAGACCTAGAAATATATTTTTTTGCGCATCGAATATGGTTATTGCCTATCATTTATGTACAAAGCAGTTATTGTCGCTTAGTCACGTTTGCCTTTCAAGCGTCGATATGGACTTTTTAGCGAAAACGCGAGGTGTGAAGTTATGTGAATTGTTTTATTTTGTCTATTTGTCTATTTAGTTTTTCTTCAAGTTTAAATGTGTAATAACGGTGGTTTATTAACTGTAGCTTCTCGGGATCCTCCAAAAAGTCCATTGAAAAAGTTTCAGCAAATGACCACCATTTTACTGAGATTATATTTCATCCTATATCATCTCATCTTATTTCATTTAATTTCATGTCAGTTGATTAATTTGAGTTTCTTACGTTTTTTATTATTCATAAATTGTAAATAATTAAAACGGCGAATTATAAAAATGTTATTACTTGACGCTGGCTAATGCACAATCCGTGCGGGAGCCAAAAAATAAAGAAGCAAATGAAAAGAACATAGAAAATGTAAAGGTTGGTGGCGCCCACTTAGAATTAGAATTTTTAGAAAAGTTATTTGTATTTGTATTGTGGAGTAAATAAATTCAATTATTATTATTATTAACATCAAATGAGCCGTGTGGTTGTCGAGCCACCCAGAGAATTACAATAATGCTTGGCGAAGCTGTCGAAAGGTATTATACTGGTGGTAGGACCTCTTGGGAGTCCGCACGGGTAGGTACCACCACCCCGCCCATTTCTGCCGTGAAGCAGTAATGCGTTTCGGTTTGAAGGGTGGGGCAGCCGTTGTAACTATACTGAGACCTTACAACTTTTATCTCAAGGTGGGTGGCGCATTTATGTTGTAGATGTCTATGGGCTCCAGTAACCATTTAACATCAGATGGTCTGTGAGCTCGTCCACTCATATAAGCAATAAAAAAAAAGGTAAAAACTTGACGTTTCTAGTTCGACTCATCGCTGAGGGTTACTCTCTATTCAACCTTCCTTTACAAAGACAGAGACAATCAACATACCATGTCGGTGGCCAGTCTCGCTATCTCCTTCGCGACTCCAACCATCCTTGTCTGGTAGTCGACAAACGAATCTGATTCATCGTAAGAGCTGAGCAGAGACATTCTGTTGACAAACCATAATATTATAACTACAGTTTAAAAACAAACTAAAGTACGCAATGTAATGCAATTATGAGGCAATGGACGCGCGATATCAACTTCGCTTTCCATTGCGGAGTTATTAAAAACTGTAACTCAAACTATTTGAGGTTGTTACCATTGCGGGGTAGTGACAATAAATCTTCGTTTCGCCATCGGCTTTAGACACACGTTTTTAGATTGTTATATACCCATTCAGACTAATGTAAGCTCACGTAAAGGTACTTTTTGATACTTTGAGCACTGTCAAGATCCTCACCCACCCGATCGTAAGTTGTTACCGACGCTTATTAACGTGAGCTCAACAGGGACACAATTTTATTACACATATTGTTTAAAAAAGATCGCATATAGCAAGCGAACGGTTAGGCCATATAATCTTACAAACGTATTCTTTACATTCCATCTATACTTCTATACTAATCTATACTAATATTATAAAGAGGAAAGATTTGTTTGTTTGTTTGTATTGAATAGGCTCCAAAACTACTGAACCGATTTGAAAAATTATTTCACTGTTTGGAAGCTACACTATTCCTGAGTGACATAGAGTATGATTTTTTTTTTTTAATTAGAGATCCTTACTAAAACTCCAATAATGTAATCCAAGGTGTTAAAAAAATTCCTAAAATATTCTTTACATCGCATCCCCTGCGAAAACTATTGATGATAGAATAAAATAATGTACTACGACTTTGTAGAACACATTATTATTTACAAAAAGTGTCGCGACAGCTTAAATCTAACTATTATATAGGTAATTATGCCGCAATAGGTGTTCTTTTATTTAAAAAATAAAACAACGCCAAATATGATTGAAATTTTTGTTGACTTAAGCGGAGCCGGAGCGGGCCGCTAGTATTCTATAAGAGTATGTATTTGACAATTACAATGAATTTGAGTTCAATTTTGTTGTTGTATCAACCTCTACTGTAGTTTAGCCGATCACAACAATTTGGTTAAATATTGTCAATTTTATGTCGTTTCATTGATTCAAACACTTGACTTAGATCAGTTGGCCCTTTCTGTCCGGGCTCACAGTGCACTACAAGTAATTTATAATACTAGTGGTCCCGCAGTAGTCGAAATCCGACTATAAATTATTAAAATTATGAGTTTGAACATTATTATGGTTATATATTGTCAAAGACTACTTCTATAATCAAAGATTTCGCCAAGACTACCCTATAGACAAATAATATTAAAGATAAACAATATTAACCTATTCTCAATTTGACCACAGACTTTAAACATTAAACTAAAGTTTGACAACAAACAAAGAGTATATATACATGTATGTGTGTGTGTGTCAAATACATGTGTGTGTAATGTTTTCTTAATTGATTTAATGAATCTTTTATGCGTTATTTTTAAAAAATATTAGTATTGTGCACTTCTTCTCTATATTCTCCATAAATGTGGGAAATTTCATACTCCTCCGTCCGCGCAATTTTCGTGAAAAGGGGTACAAAGTTTTTGCTTCACATATTAATATATAGATGACTAAACGATCACTACACGATAACGCACCGCGTCTTCAAGTTTAGCTGCCTTAATTTCTCCATTACAACACTCGTAACAACAAGCGGACGTCAACACAAGCTGTGCGCTCGGCTCGGCGAGAGCGACGCGCTGTACTAAATTAAAACATCAATCGCGCTTCACGACTCGCGCGCCGGGGTGGACTGAGACGCTTTTTAGTTTTGAACTGGTGGCCGGAAGGCCTTTCCAGTTTCACCAGGACAGGTGGTCGAGCAAAGGCTCAGCCAGGAGGGGTGGGATTTGCTAACAGCTGCCCGAGCGCCTCCAAAAGAGAACTAACAACTCAAGAGCAACTGTTTCGCGAATGAATCTACTACCGGATCGGAATCGCGACCCACTGAGAAGATCCGGCGAGAAACTCAGCGGGCTGCATGGGTTAGATTGCGCGTCGACCTCTTTGTCGAGTTCGACGAGTACGGTTACCGGGGTCCCTAAGCCTGCTCCTAGTGTTAGAGCTGAAGACGTCTAATGCACGCGTGTCTAGGGCGACGACGATGACTGACTCCTGCGTGATCGAGACGCATCTACCGCTAACGTTATTAACAAGTGCAATCTGCATCGCTCTGTCCGTGTCATCCGTATAGGCCCTGCTACGGGCAGTCAGACCTCTGGGTATGCATAGCGGTCTGTCACTGACCTTATTTGGTATTGTTTGATTGTAAACAATTATGTTTAAGGGATATACTTCTTTTTTTGCTTAGGTGGGTTGACGAACTCACACCCCACCTAATGTTTAGTAGTTAACGGAGCCCATAGACATCTACAGCGTAAATGCCGCCACCCACGTCGAGACATGAGTTCTAAGGTCTCCGTGTTTATAGTACAACGGCTGTCCCGGCCGTCAAACCGAAAAGCAATACTGCTTCACGGCAGAAATAGGGAGGGCGGTGGCACCTACCCGCGCGGACTCACAAGACGACCTACCACCACCAGGTTACTGGTTTATTTAAGGAATATATACTTCTGGATTGATTCAAAATAATCTTTCGCTGATAAAATTGCGCATCATTGATAAGCATCGTGGAATTTTATTTAAAAAAATTTAGCAATAGGAAACGCATGGCGGTAATATTAATTATTTTATCAAAATAAAATGTGGCTAATAATAACTAACAATCGTCAATAATAACAAATATATAAGTATATACAGAATATTTTACAAAAGTCATGTTTAATTATTAATTTTGTAACAGATATATTTTCACGTCACAATTTCAAGTTTTATCTGATATACCAGACAACTATTCCATTATTAGCAATGACCCTTACGAACAATTAGGGCGTGTTTACAATCGACTTATGTTTGTAGCTGTTACGGAAGCACATGTCCATGCGTGATCGCACCGCCACGACCGGACCGCGGGCAAAAGCTTTCGAAAAAGCACAACTAATATGTGGAAAGGAAGGCCTCGCCATATGATTTGCGTAGAAATTATATCTTATAATTTTTTATAATTTTTTACTGGTGGTAGGACCTCTTGTGAGTCCGCGCGTGTAGGTACCACCACCCCGCCTATTTCTGCCATGAAGCAGTTATGCGTTTCGGTTTGAAGGGTGGGGCAGCCGTTGTAACTATACCTGAGACCTTAGAGCTTATATCTCAAGGTGGGCCCATTTACGTTGTGGATGTCTAATGGGTCCAGTAACCACTTAACACCAGGTGGACTGTGAGCTCGACCACCAATCTATGCAATAAAAAATAAAAAAAAGATTAGCTGAATTTGTCCAATTCGTCGACATTCTCGAACCGACAAATTGCAAAATTAATTAAAATAAGAGATTAAACAGATTTTCGTTCTTAAATCCGCAGTCGCGTGTGTCCCGCGCTTTATATTGATCTGGTTCAGACATTGAATTTGGCGCCAAGCCAAACGTTACGAAGATCGAACGCCCACTAACACACAACGACACTGAGACAATTTGTATTAAGCCGCTGCAGCCATTGCAGGGCGCTAAAAGCTACTTGGTATTTTATGGACATCGCTCTAAGCGGTGGTAAACACGAGAGTTAAACAAATGTATGGATAGACACGTTTCGCAGTACGTAAATTGAAATTTATCTCCTATACATGCAGTCAAGCAAGTTTTGTTAAAGACAACTGCTTTTGCTTAATTATTATGAGAAAAATGTGTTATTATATTAATTTCGATAAATTACAGAGGGGATTTCGAAAGTCTGCACATGTGAGGAATCTTAATTTAATTTTTTCGATCTTTTGACAATGACTAAATGTTTTAAACGAATGACGAAATATCTTAACTCCAAAATAAGAAGGGAAATGATTGCAGAAGAAAACAATAATTGCATTGTAATGTCCCTGATGTTTGTCACACTGTTCAAGCAACATAGGGTATAGGTTCGCGACATCAGTGTTGAGACCGTCCGGTGCGGAGCGTCAGGTGGACGTTGTAACTAAGCTATACTCAAATGGTGATCTAACCATGAGTATAAATAGACTTGATTGATTTTGTAACTAAATATAGCTTCCGATAAAACTGTAGTGACTCAACGGCAGCGAGCCGTGTACCGCGTCGCTGGTTCGAGTCCGACCGGTGCCGGCGCGAATGGTGTACAATTCACCAACACCATGTATCGATGAGTCCCTGTGTGGACCAACCCCGACTCTCTGACGACCAGATATACCTAACGTCTCGTCGATATGAAAGGCGTGTGTTTTGTTTGGATTCCCCAAGGTCTGTCTGATCGCGAATGATGTCACCACCTGGTCGTAAAATCTAGGAATAGTCGGTTTGGCACTGAACTACACTAGTGCTGACGCAGCGCGGAACCGCCAGCTATTTGACGTCTAATATTGAGATTGAATCCAGTAGGAAAGAAGCGGTGACCGAGTAATAACTGTTTGAAACCGTCGATATAATTATACCAAACTAGCTGACCCAGCAGACTTTGTAGTGCCTCAATCGATAAATTATAGACCTAAACTTTTGTATGAAATAAACTTAAAACAAACAAAAGGAATCCGTCCGACGGGGGACATATCAAAGGGAAAATAAAATTGTTATTTTTATTTAATTCCGAGCATTTTCATATTTATCTACCTTTTAAACCTTCTCTGGACTTCCACAAATAATTCAAAACCAAAATTAGCCAAATAGTCCAGCCTTTCTCGAGTTTTAGCGAGACTAACGAACAGCAATTCATTTTTATATATATAGATATACTAGCAGACTCGGCCACACGTTGCTGTGGCTAAGGTTTTTGTTTCTAAATAACACACGGCCGGCTATGCTAATACCAAAAATTGATAAAGTAAGAACAATTGTGTTTCACTGTATTGCGCTTACTACGAAATACATTTCACTTATACTTTAGCCTCAGCAACACGTGGTGTTTAGGCCATCAAACTGTAGCTTATGTGAAACGTTGGTATTTTTAACACAGCGCCATCTATGAGATACCAATGTCAGACAGTTTTTGTAATTGTCTGTAAAAACTGATTTAAGGCGCCATCTGTTTTAGACTTATGAAACTTACAATTAATAACAAAGATCAACATAAGAAATCATTTTATTGTTAATTAATAAATATTGCGACCATTAATCGAAATAAAAACCGTTCTATCTTTCAAGTTGGATCAAACTGCACACGGTGTGCAAATTTAATTGGAAATCGGTTAAGTAGTTTAGGAGTCCATCGCGGACAAACAACGTGACACGTGTTTTATATATATAGATCAGCGGACAAGTCCACGTCGGCGGTGGCGTACCTGCGCTCCGTGAGCCTGGTGAGCGCGCGGGCCAGCGTGTCGAGCAGCGGGCCCACGGCGCCGTGCTGCGCGCTGAGCCGCCTCACCCGCTCCGCCAGCTCCTGCAGCGACTCGCGCGCCTGCACCACCTGCGCGTCCACCGCACCGTGCGCCGCCGCCGCCTGCACCATACCGCTCGTTATAATATTGCACAAGAGAAGTTTTTACTGGTAGTAGGACCTCTTGAGAGTCCGCGCGGGTGTTGTAGATGTCTATGGGGTCCAATAACCACTTGACACCAAGTGGGCTGTGAGCTCGTCCACCCATCTAAGCAATAAAAAAGGAGGTCAGCCGGCGCGACACGGGCCCGCGCGGCGGTGTACTGTACCCTGGGGTTCCCGGCGGCGTCCCTGGCGGCCTGCAGCAGCAGCACGGCGGTCTCCAGCACGGTGCGCGCGTGCTGCAGCAGCGCCGCCTGCTCCGTTGTCTCCGACACGCCGGACGCCGCGCCCACCGCGCCCGACACCAGCGGCTCCGAGTACGACACCTGGGGACGAGAAGCATTCCACTGTTCCACTGCAAGCTCTGTTAAAGTCGAGAGCTGTGGCGGGTTTTTTTTTCCTACCTAAGCTGATAGCCTTGCCTAAGCTTTGAGAGGCTATTTCAGCGTAACCTTAACTAGTAGGTGAGCTCACGGGGCTCAAACCTGAGGACGTTGCTAATACGAACCCCAGCAAGAGCAGTGCTTCGCAGAATCTACCACCGGATCGGAAACGCGACCCACTGAGAAGATCCGGCGAGAAACTCAGTGGGCTGTGTCTGAGGGTTAGTTTACTCGTCGAGCCCTTCGTCGCAAGCGACGGGTTCGACGAGAACGATGACCGGTGCTTGAGGTACCTAAAAGCACCGTTAGTGGATTGGAAGGATCCAAAATGACGTGTTTTGGGCGACGTCGACTGCTTTCCATTCTGTCCGCAGGATCGGGAATGTGTGTGGTGGGTGCGGCTGACGCACGTATTGCCTGACGCAGTGGCCCAGGTTCTCGGCCTCGGCCCGGGCGGCGACGCGCAGCGGCTCCAGACGCTCCAGCATCTCCGTGCAGCAGTTCTCGATCTGCTCCGCGTAACCTGGACGGATAATTTATTTTTAAAATCAAATTAAAATCCTTAACATTGAAGATTTTCTCCGACGAGGAGAAGCTTGCCTTCTTACACGCGCGCACGTCACGCAATGAGGATAAGGATAAGAAGTTGTAGCTGCTCGTCACAAGTGTATCCACTGAACAATTATTGGTTTAGGAACCAATTCAAAGATCCGGTGTCTCCCACAGACAATGTTCTTATTCCTGGTCAATTAGGAGAAGTGGTCCCGCATCCTCATATCGTGAAGAGAGAAACCAGTTGCCGTAAGGTTTGTGTTGCTCACACTACACCATTTTATTATCTTGTAAATCAAATAGTTTGTGAGTGAGCGTGCGTGATGGCAGTGAAAAATACCTTGCAGCGTGTTGGCCTTCCGGGGCTCCAACTCCTGGGCGACGGCCTGGATAGCGGCGTGGTCCAGTTCCCTGAGCTGCTTGTTGAGGGTGTCCAGGGCCGCCGCGCACTCGCGCTGCCCGGGGGCTTTCTCCCTGTGACACAAACAGTCGGCGGTCAGTACGGCGCGGCTCGGGACTTGAACAGCGGATGGAGTGGTGCGTGCGGGTACCGTATGTTGGCGACCAGCGCCTTGATGGTGTCGGAGAGCGTCTTGCTGTGGGCGGCCAGCGCGTGCCACTGCGGCCGGTCCTCCGGCGACAGCACCAGCTGCCCCGCCGCCTCCAGCATCGAACACGACTCCGATATGATGTTCCTGGGAGCGAAAGAGATCCCCGATCAGATCTACTTCAAAACTCTATATTCATTTAGCAAGTATTATAACGTCATAATAAAACTACTGTATACGCGCGTGTTTATGTTCATCGGGGCCAGAGGTGACGCGCGGGGGACAGCTCGCCCCGCCCCCGCCCGCCTCCCCGCATGTGTCTGACGTCGAGTGTTGTCCTTGAGTTTATCGATATTGAAAATTTAGGTTAACACTATTGTGTTATTTAACCATGACTACTTCGCTTCCAATAAGTTCAGATAGAATAAAACCTACTGAAAAAAGATACATACTGATTCCGACTTTGATCTGTCGGTTGTCTTTTCATTTGATAGTGATTGAATTGGAATTTAAAAAATATTTTTCTCTATTAGATATAAACAAGTCATTACTGATCACATTTATTTTATTTCATTAATTGCAAAATTACCTTAAGTTACATTAAACCAAATTGACAGCTGTTGACTAAATCGGTAGTTACTATCGACATTACCATAATTAACTAGGTGTCACAGCACTACCGCATTCCTCAGGATGGACATGAATTCACGCGCCTACTGTAAATAAACCGGTACTGGTAACGAACCTGCCGCACTCCAATATGTCTTCCTGGCTCCTGCGTCCCTGCTCGGATATCCTGGCCGGGATCGAAGCGAACTCCGGGCTGTCCGCGAACTGACACAGCGACTGCACCGCCTCCAGCAGCGGCCCAGTGGCGCTGGCACACCGAGCCCGGTTGGCCTGGAACCAGTGCATCTGTCATCACAGGTCGATGCCAGCAGGACGTCGTCTCTCAACCGACAGCAGATCAGAAATCAATTTCGTACTGAGCAAATTATAATGAACTATGACGTCAGAGTTCAAGAATACAATACAGTTTTTCGACCGTCGTCGACGTTAAGGTCGTCAACGCACACAACAAGTTTACTGATGGTAGGACCTCTTGTGAGTCCGCGCGGGTGGGTACCACCACCCTGCCTATTTCTGCCGTGAAGCAGAAATGCGTTTCGGTTTGAAGGGTGGGGCAGCCGTTGTAGCTATACTTGAGACTTTAGAACTATCTCAAGGTGGGTGATGCATTTGCGTGGTAAATGTCTATGGGCTCCAATAACCACTAGCACCAGGTGGGCTGTGAGCTCGTCAACTCATCTAAGCAATAAAAAAAAAACACGAGTCACTGCAGCTGTAGCCACCAGCGACGCAGTAGGTACCGCCTCTGACTGCTGGTCGAGGGACGTGGATTCGATTCCTACATAGATCTTTGTCTGGGCGTTGAATATCTTATGTGAGTATTTTTTTTTTTTTTTTTTTTTTTTTTTTTTTTTTTTTTTTTTTTTTTTTTTNGGAAACACCGTGGAGGGGAGCTCATTCCATAGCCGGATGGTACGTGGCAGAAAAGACCTCTGGAAACGCACTGTCGATGACCGCAGTGGCTCCAGGTAGTATGGATGAACTCTACTCCGGTGGCGGGCGGTGCGATGGTAAAAACGAGATGCCGGTATCATCTCGAACAATTCCTCAGAGCACTCCCCATGGAACATTCGGTACAAAATACAGAGGGAACCGAAGTCCCTCCGCAGACCCAAAGGTTCCAAACGATTCGCGAGATTGTTAGTCTGAGTAGTTGTAGTAGTTGAGTATATTCTAAACGTCTGTCAATCCATACGAGCAGTCCAGTCACCTCGCTGTAGTCCGTGTCCAGCGCCTTGATCTCCTTGACGAGGGCCGCGGTGGAGTTGGCGACGTCTTTGGCGGCCTGGACGAAGTGCCTCTTGGCTTGAGGCTCTGTGGTCTTGCCTGAAGCCACTCGGCACGCGTTACAGAGGGCGCTGGTGTGCTTGGCTATCACCGTCGCCGCCGACAGGACCTGCAGACACACACGAGATGTAAGACGGATCTACTCCAAATGGTATTCACCGACAGCGTACACAGCCGTCCAGACAGTTCGAGCACATTTACCTGTTGCTGGTTGGAGGCGGGGTCGGCCAGCAGGTTGCAGGCCTGCTGGATGGCGAGGGCGGCGCGCCCGAACTGGGCCTGGTCCACCAGCCCCGCGCGGCCCGCCACACTGGATTCTTCAGACACGGCCACCTGGAGAGGCCGGGGATTTATAGGAATAGTGAATTGTTTTACGTGACGCGTGTCGGTTGGTAGCGCGTCGTTGTACAGACGGTAGTCAGACTCACAAGATAGGCGGCTTGCGCGGCTGCCTCGACGAGTCCATGGACAGCACTGGCCACGGAGCCCACGGAGCGCGGGAACTGATCCTGGTCTGCACGCTTCACGGCACTGGCCATCGACGACATGCCCTCGCCTAATACAAATATCTATTTTAAGATTTCATTAAATCATTTTTAAGCTATTCTATAACTTTAATCGCGGGCTTTGAGCGCGGCGACCGAATCAAGAAATTGCGTAACGAAAATAAAACCTAACACCCCCACTCCGCCTACCATGTAGCTCGCGTTCAACACATTCACACGGTGCGCTTGTGTAGTGTTTGTGAATAAGCGCGCGGCGTGACGTCACACTGCATGCGCATCATGAAGATCTGCCCATCTCTCTCTCGCGCTTATGAGTGTGGAGGAGACAGTTAATGTTTTGCTTTTGTTAATGTTTATAAATATAGCGTGGTCTTATTTTATTAGTTTTAATATTAAATTATTTTTGTCTAATTATAATTGCATAAGTTGATAAAAAATGCTATGTAATAGCTTTACCGCGGCAGTACCCGAGTGCCACACGTGATTTAATTTTATTTTTTATTGCATAGATAGATGGACGAAGTCACGGCCCACTTGGTGTTAAGTGATTACCGGAGCCCATAGACATCTACAACGTAAATGCCGCCACCCACCTGGAGACATGAGTTATAAGATCTCAGTAAAGTTATAGTCCCCGGCACGTAACTTGGCAAGAGTCGTTAGATGTGCAAGTCATTTTTTAGGTCTCTTTGGTTGTCAAGCGGGACGCGGGGAAAGACGTAGCACTGTTCCGAGCGCGCATTGGTGCGTCGGTCAACCCCTGCCTCCCGCACCGCCACGTTCCGTTCGCTCCCGATTACACTTGCGTCTACTAAAGTTGTAGGTACACTTTGTTTATATTTAGTTTTTGTTACGATTTGTTATTATTGTCTTAAATTTGTTTGCATTGCCAGGACCAAATACCAATAACCATATAGTCGATTCACTCACTGAGCTGCTTGCTGTGGTCGAGCACGGCGTCCAGACACGCGAAGTAGGAGAGGTCGGAGAGCGGCTGCGCGGGCGCGTCCAGCAGCGGGCGCGCGGCCTGCACGCTGCGCCGCGCCGCGCCGCACGCCTTGTGCCCCGGCGCCGCCTGCGTGCACGCGTCCACCTGCGCACCAGCCACTCCACATACAACTCTACTCTCTACGACTCAAGTACGACAACGCTCAAGCACGGTCATGCTTCGAGATCAAATTACAAGTGTTTTGAAATTATCAATACAATCTTAACAAACTTTTTTTTAAAGGATTTTATGACCTGGTAACTAAGCCCTTTAAGTCATGTCTTATTTTAATTTATATTCTTATTTTTATAAAACATTATACTATGGAGTGAAATGAAATGAAATGAAGATGATTAATTTGAGACATTAATCAATTGGGATGAAATTAAACTGAAATGAGATGAGATGATATGGGATGAAATATAATTTCAGTAAAATGGTGGTCATTTACTTAGATTTTTTCAGTGGACTTTTTGAACGATCCCGAGAAGTTACGTCCAGAGGCTTTGTTTCATTTTCGCCTATCTGTACACTTTCACAGATATTAAACAGTTAATAAATCACCGATATTACACATTAGACCTCAAGAAACACTAAATAGACAAAATAAAACAAATTACACGACTTCACTCCTCGCGTTCTCGCCATAAAGTCCTCTTATCAAACTTCAAATTTATGTCGTACACAGAGCATATAAAAATAGAGGCTGAAGTATCCGTTTCAATAAAGCCAATCATGATGTAATAAAATTTTGAACACAAACAAAGGTAGACGAGAATAATTAAAAAAAAATGGGAATTTTAAATTTTAGTTCATTAAAAATGTTCTGTAATCAATTAGCCTATATCTCGAAATGATTTTACAATAGGGAAAACTGGTCGATAATGGAACCCGAGGTTCACTCATGGCTTGAGTGAAAATACTGACAATAAGGGAGTAGGATTTCTACAATAGCTCCACCCTAATCGGAGTTCATGACTATCGCAAGCCTTGGTTCAGTCACAGCGCGAGTCCAGGGGCCACTTTTCTACCACCACGCGCTGGACATGTGATATCACAATCTATTTAATTCACTCTAAGTCTATAAACAGCTTGGCTGTATCCCCGGCACCACCAGCGGACACAAGCCGGTCTCCTGTCATCTGCCGTGGACACTTGAGACTACGTGGAGTGTTTCAAACTCGTTAAGAAGCGCAGAAGCTCATCTCACCAGCTTGTTGATGCTGTCGGTGACGGCGCGGGCGGCGGCCGTCAGCTGGTTCTTGGCGTTCGGGCGGGATAAGTCCTGGGAACAGACGCCTATACATGCACACGTGTCGCAATACACACCACAGCATCAACGCGTCGTTATACAACCCACTAGCTTTTGCCCGCGACTCCGTCCGCGTGGAATAATTACTTTAGTATTAACGCTAAATTTTACCTCCCACTTCATTTACGTAGAAAGTGAAAATATTTTTGAATTATAGAATGTTAAGGAGCTATTAAAACCCCTATTTTGAAACATTCTTTATTGGTGCTCTGCTTGTATTGGTCTTACTTGATGTTATATAGCCTATAGCCTTCCTCAATAAATGGGCTATCTAACACTGAAATAATTTTTCAAATCAGAGCAATAGTTCTTGAGATTGGCGCGTTCAAACAAACAAACTCTTCAGCTTTATAATATTAGTATAGATAAAGTACTTTTAATGCCTTCTAATTACTTCTTTGTTGCGAATAATTATATTTTTATTGTTTAAGATCTAATAACTCTACGGTTGACCCAAACACGAGCCAGAGTGCGCCAGCTAGTATGGCAACCACCCGCGGTATATTGGTGTATCAATCACCTTTTGTTAGCGCATCGGTCACTTTGGCCTCAAATGACGTCACGTGTTTGTGAAAAATAATGGTCCGGTTCTCTGTTGTTGGAATCATATAAATGCTGTTTGGATCTTGACTCCAGTGACTAATAGTATTTCGTTAATATTATTGAATGCAAGGATGTCATTAGTGAACCAGAAGAAATATTTGTTTTGAGAGGCTATTTCAGCGTAACCTTAACTAGTAGGTGAGCTCACGGGGCGCAAACCGGAGTGATGCTAACGCTGACCCTAGCAAGAGCAGTGCTTCGCAGAATCTACCACCGGATCGGAAACGCGACCCACTGAGAAGATCCGGCGAGAAACTCAGTGGGCTGTGTCTATGGGTTAAAAAGAACTATCTTAACTCTACATTGTATCACGCGTCGTTTACCAGCCCAGAAAAGTCTGTGCGAGCAGTTATTCGCGTGTGTATTTAGAGAAGCAGCAGTTCCAAACCTGGCTGACGGACTTCGCTGTCCCGAGGAGCTTGGAGGAGTTGACGGTCACCGACTTCATGGAGTTCACCATCAACGACTGAGTCTCGCGGTCCTGTGGGCCAATACAGAATATATTATGTACTAGATGTACCCGTCCGCTTCGCTGGGCATTTAAAATTAATATTATTATTTCTCACCCCCACAAAGATTCTCATCATTAACGCCCCCGCAACTGATGTAGGGAGTCCAACACTCATATGAATATTAGCCTATCCATTAAGTACATGTATTTTCTACATGGATACCAAGTTTCAAGTCAATCGGATGCATGGTTCAGTAGTTATAACGGAACATCCGTAAAAACCTCTGTAGATTTATATATTAGTATAGATAATGGTTTATGTATTTTGTAAAGTAACTAAAACTCGTTATGTTAGTAGATAATTATACGAGGCTGTCAGGGCAAAAGTGGCCTAAGCTTATCTGAGCATACTATAGTAAGCATGGAGACAATGAGGTCTGAATTTACTTTTACACTGCCTCATAGGCAAAAACAAAACGCGCAAAAATAATGTTGACAAAGCCATCTATTATCTATGGGGCAAAACTAGGCATAGGCCGGTTTTGAATCAAAATTTATTATGTTTTAAATAAATTGCAATATAAATGTAGGATAGGCCACTTTTGTGCTGACGGCCACATATAATATTTTAAAATTATTGTTTACAATGGGAAACGAGTAAGTGGTAACGTAACCTTTACAATTTTCCAATTCTGAGCACTTGTGAGCACGCCTCTCGACAGGCGACTACGGAAAATTAAATAAAGCGGTCCAGCTGACCTCAGTTTGTCCAGCCATCTCCATGCCGACTCCGAGCAGATTGTTGAAGGCCTGCCCGAAGCTGTGGCTGGAGTCCGCCAGGGTCCGCGGGTCGTCCACGCTCTGCACCACGGCCGACGAGGCCTGGCTGAGGCCTGCTGCCGCCGTGTTCAGCTGGACTTGGAGTTCCCTGCTCAAACAAACAACAAACAGCTGTCATACATCCTAAGCTGAGAGCTTTGAGAGGCTATTTCAGCGTAACCTTAACTAGTAGGTGAGCTCGCGGGGCTCAAACCGGAGTGATGCTAACACGAACCCTAGCAAGAGCCGTGCTTCTCCAGAATCTACCACCGGATCGGAAACGCGACCCACTGACAAGATCCGGCGAGAAGCTCAGTGGGCTGTGTCTGTGGGTTAATTTACTCGTCGAGCCCTTCGTCACAAGCGACGGGTTCGACGAGAACGATGACCGAGACTCGAACTCTAGTCTCACATATAAATATTAACGCAATGGACTTCTCAACTTTTTTATTTTTTATTGCTTAAATGGGTAGACGAGCTCACAGTCCACCTGGTGTTAAGTGGTTACTCGAGCCCACATACATCTACAACGTAAATGCGCCACCCACCTTGAGATATAAATTCTAAGGTCTCAAGTATAGTTACAACGGCTGCCCCACCCTTCAAACCGAAACGCATCACTGCTTCACAGCATGAGCAACATTACCCGTAGGAGCTGTCCGTGGGCGGGAACTCGCCCATGTTCAGAATGTTGAGGGTCTCGTTGATGTTTTCCATGGCGAGGTCCAGCTCCGTGTGAGACGGAACCGCTTCCATCGTCTGCTCTAGACCCTGCGGAAGGAGAATTACTAATTAAAAGCTCTGCATCATAGTCTACATATATAAAAATGAATTGCTGTTCGTCAGTCTCGCTAAAACTCAAGAACGGCTGGACCGATTGGGCTAATTTTGATCTTGAATTATTTGTGGAAGTCCTGAGAAGGTTTAAAACGTAGATAAATATGAAAATGCTCGGGATTAAATAAAAATAACAATTTTGTTTTTCCTTTGATGTGTCCCCCGTCGGACGGATTCGTTTTGTTTGTTTCAAGTTTATTTTATACAAAAGCTTAGGACTTTTATTTGTCGATTGAGGCACTACGAAGTCTGCCGCTTCAGCTAGTTTATAATACAAAGCATGCACATCTGACTTACGTGCGTGATGTCCTTGGCTATGGAGGCGAGTGCGGCGCTGTCCACCTGCTCCGAGCTGCTAATCTGCTTCTTGACCGTCTCCACGAGGGTCAGGGACGAGTACAGGACCTGCCGCCCTGATAATATCACTCTGGAACAATAATTGAATGGAATTATATTGAAATTCAATTATTATTTTTTTATTAATCTAGTTGCCTATGGGCTTCAGCAATGCCAGAGGCAGAGCCAAGCCGTTGCCTACTGGAAATTAATACATAAATACATAGTAATATTTTGTAATTATGTTGGAATTGAATGGTAATCTTATACTTTTAAATGAGAAATTCTTGTATATATATAATCTGAATCTCGGAAACGGCTCCAACGATTTTTATAAAATTTAGTATACAGGGGATTTCGGGGGCGATAAATCGATCTAGCTACGATTTATTTTCAGAAAATGTTGTTTTATTCGTGTTTTCAATAATCAACTCTTCCCGACATCTATTGGCGAATAATAATACTATTTTTCTTAATTGAGGGCAACAATAAGATGGCGTTATCAAAAAAAAACCGGTCATCATCTAGTTACTACATAAGGAGCGGGTGCGGGTACCTGTGCGCGCGGGGAGGCGGCGCGGCGGCGGCGGCGGCCCGCAGCCCGTGCGTGAAGTCCCGCAGCGCGTGCGCGAGGTCGGGCGCGGCGTGGGAGCCGCTGGCGCCGGACACGAGGCGCGCGGTGGAGCTGGCGGCGGCGCGGGACGCAGAGTTCATGGTGGCCGCGGCCCACTCCGCCTGCATCAGTGAGCTTACTGTGAGTTTCTTAACGTTCTCGATAGCGTAAAAGTTAACTCATATTTGTATGGAATGGGATCGTTTGCGTACGTTTGCCAAATTCGAGAACGGCTGGACCGATTTGGCTAATTTTGGTCTTGAATTATTTGTGGAAGTCCAGGGAAGGTTTAAAAGGTTAGATAAATACGAAAATGCTCGAGATTAAATAAAAATAACAATTTTGTTTTTCCTTTGACGTGTCCCCCGTCGGACGGATTCCTTTTGTTTGTTTTAAGTTTATTTTATACAAAACTTTAAGCCTTTTATTTATCGATGAAGGCACTACGAAGTCTGCCGGATTAGCTGGCACAATTGATATTTTCATTTCAAGTTTCGAAATGAGAGGCAATGTACACGTTCTGATGTCTGTGGACTACGGCAATCATTTACAACCAGACGAATTTTAAACTCGGTCACCGAACTAGCAAATGTTTATATAGCTAGATTATTCATTATTTTTCTTCAATGTATTTGACTGAGGCGTCGTCCCCACATCTCCGAGCCTCACCGTCTGCCCGGGTAAGGGTTTCAGGTCGAAAGCCCTGACCGCCTCCTCGAGCTCATCAAGCTCCTCTTGCAGGGATTTGATGATCTCCGCCGCTGCGTCCAGCTCCAAGCCCTTGCAGGATATCCTGGCCCTGCTCACTGCGGACCTGGGGGCACGAAGTATGGAGTAATGTTAAGTTTTGACGAGGGGTTGGGGAATTGAGTAAGAGAACCCTAGAGTACTTCACTATCACGACGTTTCGCTATTATATTTACAACAAATTGATTGTTTGATTGTAACAGACGTATCCGCTTGTAAAGTAACCAAGTTGAGATTTTATGGTTGTGGTTGGTCCACCAGTTGTCGTCGTGGCCTAAAGGATAAGACGTCCGGTGCATTCGTATGTAGCGATGCACCGGTGTTCGAATCCCGCAGGCGGGCACCAATTTTTCTAATGAAATACGTACTTCACAAATATTCACGATTGACTTCCACGGTGAAGGAATAACATCGTGTAAGAAAAATCAAACCCGCAAAATTATAATTTGCATAATTAGTGATGGTAGGACCTCTTGTGAGTCCGCGCGGGTGGGTACCACTGCTCTGCCTATTTCTGCCGTGAAGCAGTAATGCGTTTCGGTTTGAAGGGTGGGACAGCCGTTGTAACTATACTGAGAACTTAGAACTTATATCTCAAGGTGGATAGCGCATTTACGTCGTAGATGTCTATGGGCTCCAGTAACCACTTAACACCAGGTGGGCCGTGAGCTCGTCCACCCATCTAAGGAAAAAAAAAGATTCAGAGTGGTCAACAGGGGGGCGCTTACCTGAGGTCGGCGCAGCTTGAAGTGTAGAGCTGCGTGTTGTCGGCCAGGTGCTTGGCTGCGGAGGGCTCGCTTACGGTCGGCAGGGCGCCTCGGGCTGCTGAGATCACGTGGCCACTTGGCTGGAGGACATAGTCACAAATTGGATTCCATACTACAATTTCAATGCTAATTGTCGGCAACATGTGTAATATTTGATGATGGATGATGCCTTCAGCTAAAGAATTTTGGCAAAAAATATAACAAAGCCGTTGATTTCTCAGATTGTTACACCAAATTCATTTAAACAACAAGGAATTCTAAATACTTTACTGAAAAGAAAACGGATAAAAAGATGCGGCTTAGTACAAAAGAGTTGGCAGTATGCACTAAGGTCTCTTTGCCTGTTCAAAAAAAAAATCGCTTGTTTACTGACGATAGTTGAATGTGGCAGCGTCATAAGAAAATACTGATGGAATGGTTTCATTTTTCAATTATCGCAATTATCGTTGCTATAAACAATTGACATCACATTCACTTTTCACTGAACTTCATACTTGACGAAAACATGTAAACGTATTATTGTATAGCAGCTGTCCACGCGGAGGCCGATTGTGCCTCTTTGTCGCTCGTTGCGCGCTCTCGCTTGCACTTAAAGACTTAAATGGAACGCCTCAGAGCGAGGTATCGCCGCACGAGTCGTGTTTTTTCGTGCGTGCAGCCGGCTCCATCGAATTATAAAACGTTGTCACGTCAAAAATGAAAAAAAAAAAGGAACTAAAGCGAAGTTGAGCTGTTCTAACGTATAGTTACCTGTAAGAAGGCCTCTGATGCAGAGATGAGGTCGAGCCTGGCCGCTGCCTGCGTCGGCTTCACGTTGGACACGTTGACAGCTTCCACCATGCGGGGGAGGTGCTCGTTCAACACTTTGCACTCTTCTAGCAGGGTCTCCTGATGGTGAGAAGTTATAAAATCACATTTAGGTTTTATAACTTTGGGTATGATTTTTTTAAAGAGATTTTATGACCTGGTAACAAAGACCTTTAGGTCATGTCTTATTTTAATTTGTATTGTTATATTTCTGAAAAATGATCATATGGAGTGAAATGAAATGAAGATGAAATGATATGAGATGAAATATAATCTCAGTAAAATGGTGGTCATTTACTAAGATTTTTTCAGTAGACTTTTTGGAGGATCCCGAGAAGTTACGTCTAGCAGCTTTGTTTCATTTTCCCACATTTGTGCACTTTCACAGATATTGAACAGTTAATAAACCACCGTTATTACACATTTAAGCCTGAAGAACCACTAAATAGACAAAATAAAAGAAATCACACAACTTCACTCCTCGCGTTCTCGCCAAAAAGTCTTTGGGTATGAAAGAATAGAGCACAGACACTCCACTCCGCTCACGCAAAGGGTTGCGTTTCGAGCCGCCCTGTTCTGAAACCGTCTGTATTATCTGTACTATTGTACACAAGAGGGCGCGTCGGGACTTTTTGGCGGGAATGCGAGGAGTGAAGTTGTGTGATTTGTTTTATTTTGTCTATTTAGTGTTGCTTCAGGTTTAAATGTGTAATAACGGTAGTTTATTAACTGTTTAATATCTGTGAAAGTGCACAAATGTGGGAAAATGAAACAAAGCCACTGAACGTAACTTCTCGGGATCTTCCAAAAAGTCCACTGAAAAAATCTCAGTAAATGACCACCATTTTACTGAGATTATATTTCATCCCATATCATCTCATTTCATTTCATTTCATCCCAGTTGATTGATGTCTCAAATTAATCATCTTATATCATAATAATATGAATATAAATTAAAATAAGACATGACTTAAAGGTCTCAGTTACCAGGTCATAAAATCCCTTAAAAAAATACACAAGAGGGCGCGTCGTTACCTGAGAGTATCTGTTGGTGTTGTACTGCGTCGCGTTCTGGGCCGACGTTATCAGCTGCGTGGCGCTGGAGGTCGCCTGCCGGGCGCTTTCCTGTCAATACAATAAGTTTCTATAATGATATATTGCTAATATGTCACTGCCCACTGACTTTCTCGCCGGATCTTCTCAGTGGGTCGCGTTTCCGACCCGGCGGTAGATTCTGCGAAGCACTGCTCTTGCTAGGGTTCGTGTTAGCAAAACCTTCGGTTTGAGCACCGACATTGCGGTTCTCCAACACGGATCGGGGTGGCAAAATGTGACATGTTCGGCGTGTGGTGTTTAGCAAAAAGCGCGTTTATTACAAGGGATTGAAGGCTGTTGAATAGATATATACCGACCTGCAGCCTGGCCACTTGTGAGCCGACGATGTCCTGTCCCTGCGCGTAGTCGGCGGTGATGAAGCGCAGCTCCTCCGCCGCTTTGCGGAGCACCTCTTGCTTCTCCCGATCCTGGGAGGAACAGATGACGCGAAGCCGTTACGATTTCACATTTTCGAAATGCAAATGCAATGCTATTAATGCAAGATTTATTGTACACTGATAACTATTAGAATAGTTAGTAAGAAGAATAGTAGAAATGAATGGTAGAAAAAAAAAGGATAATAGTTGATAAAAGCAAGGGCACAGCTACTTCTAGCAGACTTACGAGAAGAGATTCAGTATCATTCAAAGTAATGAATGCGTGAAAGAGACAGGAATTAAATAAGTTAATCAAAGTACCTACAGTTTTATATTAATATATGGACTTGGCTATATTGAGACATGAGGCTGAAGTCTCAAGTTTACAGTTTATCGGCTGCAGCCCATAGACACTGGAGCGAACGGACGCAATATCAGTACTGAGGGGGGGAGAGAGCATGGAGCTGTGGTTTTGGGACTTGTGATATGTAATGCAATGTTGTATCTATCTGTATAGCCATAAGAATCATATTTGATTGCAAAAAGACATTTCAATGAGCGCGTTATGCTCAGCAGATCGACTAAGATGTTGAATTCTCCCAAATTTTATAAGGAATTTCTGCTTAAACAGCAAAGTGCGGAGGCAGGGATTCTGTAGATTATGCCACATAATTTTAAATTTAGCTATTATTAGATACAAGTTTATAGATTAAGATTACAGGCAGCGGCAGAATAACAGCGACAGTTTCAGCTATCAAAAAGCTGAGCCGCGGCCTTTTTATCTCCACTGTGTTAGTATAGTATATTGCAATATTGTTTAGAATTAGAATTTTGTTGTCATTGAAAAGTTATTTGTATTTGTATTGTGGAGTAAATAAATGCAATTATTATTATTAATTTCCAGCATCGTCAACTTCTTACAGGGTTCTTGGTCTACCAGTTACAGCTCGGAGTAGCGTACCTGTGGCGAGGAGGCGCACTGGCGGGCCGCCTCCACCATGCGAGCCGTGGCGTCGGCCAGCAGCTTGGCCGCGGCTAGGAGCTTGCGCTGGGAGTCCGACGGTGACTCCTCGGCCTCGGTCTGTGGAGGAGACGAGCCACGTCAGTACCATACGTGTCGACACGACCCGGCGCCGGGAGAGTGTATGAGGAACTATATAGATCAGCGGTCGGGGAACCGGGGTAAATTACTCCAAATGGGGTAAAATGAAATTTTCGTGAGTAAAAAGTATATATTGAAGTGAAACTTCGTTAGAATCGTTGCGAATTCAAACTCGATGGAACGAAATGAAAAAAACGGAAAAAATTATTTATTTTTTCTTCAAAATTATAATATTATGAAAGATGCTAAAAAGAAGCGATTTCGTTTTTTTTATTCTTCGCCATGGGGTAATATCAATTTACACAAAAATATTTTGGGGTAATAATTAAAGAAGTTCCCCGACCGCTGCACTAGATATGGCAACCTTGATGTTGGTGATGAGCAGCGCCGTGGCGTGCCCCAGCTGCCTGGCGTGGCGCAGCATGTCTGCGGGCCCGGCGGCCGCCAGCAGCCGCTCGTGCGCGCCCAGCACCGCCTCCACCGCGCGCCCCGCCGCCGCCGCCGCGCCCCCGCGCTCTGCACACAACACAGTACACAATTTATGTCAGGGATTCCCAAACTTTAGCGGTAGGTAACGACTTGGCTCTGCCCCTGGCATTGCTGAAGTCCATGGGCGACGGTAACCACTCACCATCAGGTGGGCCGTATGCTCGTCTGCCTACAAAGGCAATAAAAAAAATTGTCTACTACCCACTTTGAGAACATATTCTTTTTAGCGCCCCCATTCTGGGTCTCTTACTGCCCCCCTTTAGGCCTTGTGGGCGCTACAAGAGGGCGCTATCGTCCACTTTAGGAAAGGCTGGTTTATATTAACTAACAAATATCGTTCAAGGTGAGCTATTCATTTAAAACTTCTAATTAACTAAAAGCTGTAATGTTTATTTTTTATTTTTTATTTCTGTTTTGATAATTTAACGCAAATCTGAATATTCATTGGACAATTATTTAATACCTTTTGGAGGGTACTTTCATTACTAGACTCGTAGAACAGAAACTACTGATTACACTCGCTCTCGTGTCATCTCGTATTGTTAGTTACCTATTAATGTCATTACTCAATCAATACAGTGTTTTTTTTATTGCCTTTGTAGGCAGACGAGCATACAGTCCACCTGATGGTAGGTTGTCACCGTCGTTCATGAACGTTAGCAATGCCAGGGGCAAAGTCAAGTCGCTGCCTACCTAGTGTTCGCTGTCTAGCTTGAGTCACTCAATTTATGAAACAAAAAACCGTGGATCCAGGAACTGACCAAGTTGACAGTGGGCCAGCAGCCTCTCCAGCTCCTCGGAGACGCAGTGCGCGGCGGCGGCGAGCTGGTCGCGCGCGGGCGCCGCCGCGGCCGGTGCGGGCGCGCAGGCCTCCACCAGGCGGTCCACGGCCTGCGCCACCTGCCGCGCCGCGCTCGTCAGCTGCTCGCGACACGCCGCGCTGTGCAGGGTGGGCGCCACCACCTGACACACACACACAACATTACGTTACACTTTTTTTATTGACTTTATGACCTGGTAACTAAGACCTTTAAGTAATTTCTTATTTTTATGAAAAATGATAATATGGAGTGAAATAAAATGAAATAAGATGAGATTATATGTGATGAAATATAATCTCAGTAAAATGGTGGTCATTTACTAAGATTTTTTCAGTGGACTTTTTGGAGGATCCCGAGAAGTTACGTCTAGTGGCTTTGTTTCATTTTCCCACATTTGTACACTTCCACAGATATTAAACAGTTAATAAACCACCGCTATTAGATATTTAATCCTGAAGAAACACTAAATAGACAAAATAAAACATTCACACAACTTCACTCCTCGCGTTCCCGCCAAAAAGTCTGACGTTACACTGATCACTAGGGGTGGCCTGACTTACTAATGTTCTCATTATACGGCAGCCTCAAAGTGTGGCCAATATTATATCAGCAACTGATGTTAGACTAAGACACAAGACGAATGATTGTCCAGACAATGAGCGCATCGTCAACCCTATTGCTTATATAGGTGGACGGGCTCACGGCCCACCTGTGTTAAGTGGATGACAGAAGTAGATGGCGCCGCTCAACTTGAAAAACCATGGCCTAAGTCTCAATTTTATAGTACAATAACTGCTCCACCCTTCAAGTCGAAACGCATTACTGCTTCACGGCAGAAATAGGCAGGTTGGTGGTACCTACCCGCGCGGACTCACAAGAGGTCCTACCACCAGTAATTACGCAAATTATAATTTTTCGGGTAATAATATCAGACCAGCCTGAGCTAGTCCGTGCGGCTCATTACCTTGGCGCAGGCCACGAGCTGGCTGGTGGCCAGGGCGCAGTGCGTGGCTGCGGCTATGATGTTGTTCTGCAGCTGCTGGTCGTCCCGGCACTGGGCCGCCACGTTCTTCGCTTTCAACACTAAAGCTGCCGTCGTGTTGGCCACGGCTTTGGCGAGAGACAGAAGGATGTCCTGGAAGGAACACCGAGTCGTCTAGATTTATACTGCCTACATTTAAACAAATTGATTCTTAATGTTAAAAAAAAAAAGGATTGTGTGGTTTTATCAAACCACGGTAAACGTGAAACTTTTTTTCACATTATAGACATTTAACTCTGACAAACAACATTTACATTAAACACTGACAAAAACAAAAACAAAATAGCGTGGAGCACTGGCACTAATGAGTAATAGTCTATACACTACACGGTCAGCCGCTGCGAACTATAGGCGCCGCCATATTGGCCTTGGCTGTTCTGACGAGCGTCTTTCACTTTATCCCTACTCCGACCGTCACGCGACATGCAACACACAGACGAAAAAGTTTGAGACGATGTAATATAATTTTCACTTTAAAAATAAAAATAAAACAAACATATGAATTACTCTCAATCAATCTTAAGAATGTTCAAGATTCATAGTTCTGCGTGTGTAGTATAACGGTTATCTTCCTATATAGCACTAGTAAATATCTGCCGCGCTCTGCCGGTGCTGTATGAGAGAACGCTACTGATCCGTCTGCGAAGTCATAGTATTGTATTGACACTGTTGGAGTTTGAATATGAAAGTAATGGCAGGCAACATCTGATACATGTAGGTACACATGTAAAAATTGTAATAGTGTACCAAAGTATTTGCAATATAATAATATTAGCCTTGAAGCAGTGTTTTTAAATAGCTTCTCCCCTAAAGAACTCAATCCCCTCAAATTTAACCGTCCAACAGACACATATATTTTAAAATTATTATTGAATATTGTTCTTTCAGACTTCAAGCCGTAATGCCCTTGTATATTATACAAATTTTTACTCTTCTAATTTTACAATGACTATTTCTAGACAACTAACATAATTACATTGGTACGCAGATCACTTATAATTTATCTGATGTATCTGTGACTAACAATAAATTCTACGCTCCCACCGTAAATCCGCAGGACTACAGTTGACCAAAAACAAATTTTCGTTATTTAAAATAGTGTCTAATGCAGTGACTTCGGCAAACATATCCGGGTCAGAAACTTTTGCAATAGTTGAAGCATTTATTGGCTAGTAAATGAATCAAGCTAGCTTTGTTGCAACGTAATCTCTTTTGATTGTTATAATTTGCAACTGTAAAGTAGGTATAGTAATATTGATAGAACACTCACAATGTTTGTCATCGAAATGTGGCGTTGGCAACATTTCAATTCGTGCGAATTTCTGAATTTTTTTACTTTCAATGTAATTTACTATTATATCATCACATAATATATATCAGTATGGTTGACTACTAGTGCAAATCTAGGGATGCACTCACTTTTGCTAGTGTGTGTACGTTATATAAATTATACCGAAAAAAAAAAGTTTACGAGCGATTCTATACTATACTAGCTCACCCGGCAGACTTCGTAGTGCCTCAATCGATAAATAAAAGACTTAAACTTTTGTATAAAATAAACTTAAAACAAACAAAAGGAATCCGTCCGACGGGGGACACATCAAAGGTAAAACAAAATTGTTATTTTTATTTAATACCGAGCATTTTCATATTTTTCTACCTTTTAAACCTTCTCTGGACTTCTACAAATAATTTTCGAGTTTTAGCGAGACTAACGAACAGCAATTATTTTTTATATATATAGACTATACTATACTTCTACGGGTACATATTTATAGTGTTCTGTGTATGTAGCAGTTGCGTAGAAAGCAGACAGGCTTACCATCAACCCTATAATAATATTAATCAATCCACACATCACCCATGACAGGATCATGAGGTGAAATCTGATAAATAAACCTCTTTCAGACTTCGATAAAAAAAAAAGACATGCCATAGCGTGTCACGGGTTCAAGACCGCTGCGTTCTCGAGTGATAATGCTTCACAGTCCTTTAACAATATAGTGACATCGTTAATAGCACTGTCAGCAACTATAATCAATTTGCTCGTCGACCCAAAAAGGCTGACGTGTCAAATAATTTAGTTTTATGTATTTTCAGAAAGCGAGGGAAGTATTAGTAAAAAAATTTCTTAATTAATTTTGTCACTACTTCTACAGACAGTTAGTCGCAAATAAAACTCAGTTGAGAAGTTTTTTAAATGCTTTTTTATAATTTAATAGATTAAACAAAACATTAGAGGCAGTGACAAAATCAACAAAAAAATAATAATGTAAAAAAAAATATATTAAAAACCCACAACCTTATTACGGACACTGACGTTGCTTAATAATTATTGACCAACGGTTTAAAAACAAGAAAAAATATATTAGTAATGTCGATATTAAAAAGGCAAACTCGGTACAGTAATCAGTTGCTTGAGAAATGCTCCCAGAGGATATATGATAGATAACCTTATCAGAAGTACTTGTGGAGAATTCTGCTAAATTTTATGTTACTAGCAGATTTCAACTTCAAATTGAAGTTGTCAGCTTTATGGATTTTTCTAGCCTTTCACACCAGATGAGGACTGAAGCGTCTGATTTCTATCATCGCTCATACAGTACACCTGACGTGAGGCGGTTACAACAAAGGTAATGCTAACTTTTGAAAATCTAACGTAAAGGTCTTTAAAAGAATAATATAAGAGAGACGATTGGTCAATAATTATTAATATAACTGTGCAGACTAAGTTTAAAGTAAGTAAAAACTTAAAAAAATATTTCATTATTAAATTAACTGACAAAAATATAAAAATAAACATTTTAAAATGGCAATTTTTGTATTTGTACGATCTGTTGTTTATGGCAATTTCATTAAATTAATCATGGTCAGTAGATTTAGTTTTTTTTTTGTTGTAATGGCTTCATTAAAGCATAAATACACCAAATCTATGGTTTGGCCCTACTATCTACATTTTTAATAAAAAAAAAGCTATATATATATGCTTATCATATAATATTATTATTATTATTTATTCAAAAATTCAGCTGACACATGTTTATTTATTTATTTATTTATAAAAACGTAAATTTCTCTCACTAAAAAGCATTACCAATTCTATATTATTAATAAATAGTTCAGAATTAATGATTACTTATTAAATATAGATACCAAATTAACAACGATCAAAATTTCATTTTCAAAAGTCCATTTAAGACTAGAATCATTAAAAGCACAGCTACTGTGATACTAATAATAAGAAATTATTTTTCAATTATTTGTCATGTAAAATAGGAACTATTTAGTTACACCATCGCAAACCAAGTAACCTAAGTTCCAAAGAGAAAAACCAATTGATTATCATAATAGTGTAACAACTGATTGTCTTGAATTGTTTTTTTTTTTTGGTGGCGATTTATTTTCTATTTATCTAGGTGTTTAATACATATCTATGTATTTGTTTAAAAACGGTAGTACTACTAGTATTTATTAGTCTCTCCAAGTCTGAAGATAGTACAAGTTGAAGATGTTTATATATACGTGTCTCCAAGAGGCACGACTTGCTTTATCAGACAATATTCCTGATTAAAGATATGTTTCTCTATTTCTGTTTGGAACTGAGTTATCTACGGGTATTCTGTGATGATTCATCCATACTCAAGCGTCGCGATCACAAGGAACTATATTATTTATATTAATTTATTATTTCAATTTTAGTTTTATATTTTCGATTAAATTTTCTTTTTTGTTTTTATTTTTACCTACCCCCAGTAATGACAGAAATGTAAGCTTTTGCGGGTATAATTTTTGTGACACGACTTTCCTTCGTTGTAGGAAAACATTCGCGAACATATAGAACATAAGATGTGTAGTTTTTTTAACGAAGTCTGAAAGTGGATCTGTTTTTCAACGCCGGTATCGTCAGTCATACAACTCCAGTACACCAGCTACCTTTCCAACTAAGTCACAAAGACCAAATCGTTCATAAACTTGTTTTCACCTTACTACTAGTGGTAAACGAGACTGGTATGCCATTATCATTGACAATAAACTAACAACGTAGCTGTCAGTTTCGAACCGAACACATTATACGACTTTTGAATCCGAAAATAATCATGTTTGCTTCGCCTTTGGCCTTATGCGCAAGAGCCGCCCGTGATAGATACCGCCATATATACCCAAAAGTAAGATTTCAAATAATTTACAAATGTCATTAACAGCGTCTTTCCCCAGTTAAATACATGTCTTTATCAAATGCTGGTGAGTCCCGCGATCATAATTATCTTGTAACATTGATAACCAAGCCCGGCCTTCTTTACCTCCTTATAAAACAATTTACATTTGTCGCGTGACAAACGGTTAGGATTATAAAATGATCAATTTAATTTCAACACGCAACCGTATACAGATTATATATAAAACTACCCAAAAAGCAATTCTAAGCGTTGTTTGTTGAATAAAAACGATTGTTTGATCACGATTTTGCGAAACATTACTCGATTATTCGAATATCGGTTTATAAAATCGAATAATTCGAATATTTATTACTAGCGACCAGCCCTCGCTTCGCTTCGGAAACATTAAATTTTATTATTGATTATTTACGACAAAAATTATCGACTCAAAAATAACAGTATTTCTAAACTATTTAATGGATGTTATTATACATATAAACCTTCCTCTTTAACCACTCTATATATTAAAAAAAAAAACCGCATCAAAATCCGTTGCGTCGTTTTAAAGATTTAAGCATACATAGGGATATAGGGACAGAGAGAGCGACTTTGTTTTTTACTATTTAGTGATTTGTTCAGATCATCAGACTAAGCACCAATCACAAGGCATGACGTCACGTGGCCCCAAGTGACGTCACGTGTAATGAAATGTCGTTCGTTTCATCCAGTATGGTCACAAGGGGGAGTATCGGGACATCTAATATTGCCGACAGTTTACCTAGAGAGGACTGATTAAATTGAAAGTGAAATATTCGTTTTGGCGAGTGAATCACGCGGGCACCGCCGAATATCCTTTTTTTTATTTTTATTGCCTAGTTGTGTGGACGAGCTCACAGCCTACCTGGTGTTAAGTGGTTACTGGAACCCATAGACATTTACAACGTAAATGCGCCACACACCTTGAGATATAAGTTCTAAGGTCTCAGTATAGTTACAATGGCTGCCCCACCCTTCAAACTGAAACGCATTTACAGCTTCACGGCAGAAATAGGGGGAATACTATGCTCAAATTACATTTCCATTGCGATACTATCGACGTCACCGTGCGGGGCCCCACCAGCTACCACCACAGATCCTCCGAAACCGTTTTAAAATAATCTCTTTACAAGCTACTGCGGCTATACCCTCAATCCTGAGCGCATTACTGGGAATCATCGTCGCAATCATACGGCCACAACCACTGAATCAGAAGCACGATTATCACGAAGATTATCGACAGAATACATAAGATATTCAGCCAGTTCTCTTTCCACAGCATCTGTAACTCTAGTTCGAAGCACTGGCAGTGCTGGCAGCACCTGGGAGACGAGCACGGGCGGGCGCCGCGGTCGTGCCCGCCACGCACGCGGAACGTGGGGTTGTACACGATGCGTATCTCCGTTTTGGGTCTCGGTTGTCCCTCCGAATTATTTAAGATTTCTGTTTTGCGGTCGCTACCGTCACTACTAGTGTAGTACTTCTCGCTTTTCTTCACGAAATTCTCGAAGCGATCGTTCTTTAGTTTCGATAGGCTCGTCTTAGTGAAGCTGGCTTCGGATTCCTCATAGAACGTCTCCTTCGTCGTCAGCACCCGGTTGTATCTATCCGGGTTTAGGATTTTGAGGTTCAGAGCGCCGGCCACGCTCACGTCGGGACCGGATTTGGTGACGTCGTTCCTGATGCTGTGACATTCGATCTTCTTATCCTTGTATCGATTGAATCGATCGTTTATATCGTTCTTATCGATATTGTTCGATAGAAAGAACCGTTGCCTTAATATATCGTTCTTGGTCCGGCGGTGGAGGTTGACGCTGGAGTAGTCGTGTTTCGGCGGGTCGTAGTTTACATTGGCGTAGTCGTGATTAGAAAAATCATTTTTGAAGTTGTATATCTTGTCCGTGACCGTCGGCGGGGGGCGCGGGGGGCGGCCGGGGGCGAAGCCTATCGGTTCGTAATCGCTGTCGCTGTTATTCAATTCGGTTTTGTTATCGATTTTCTTATCGAGATAATCGACGCACGTCCCTATGATGGACTCTAGGTCCGCGTCATCAGTGCGGTTGTTGTGGAGGTTGGCCGGCCTTCCGGGGCGTAGCACGGCGTCGCAGTAGGCCAGGCTCCTATAGTAGTCACTATCGGACTCCTCCTGGATGGCGTCCAGGCCCCAGGTCCTGGTGACGTCGACGTCCTCATACACTCCGTCGTCGACTCTACCATCGTCGAAATCATCTCCGAACTTGTCCTTACTGAAGAAGACGTTGTAGAAGTTGTCGTAGCAGTAATTGAGTTTCCTGTAGAGGAAGGATTTTTTCTTTTTATCCGGCTCGGTTACCTGCGTCTGCTTGTCCTCCTCGGTCTCCTCCCCGATGGTGTACAGCACGGACGTGGACGCCTCCCCGACCCTGGAGGCTGCGTTCAACAGGTTCTGGCGCGGCTGGAAACGACACAATATTAATAATAAGTATATATGTATGTATATGTGATTGTGTATATATGTATATATGCTTTTTGTGTATATATTCGTAACTTAATATAAATTTCATTGCACCTACAACTATTTACTCTGCACCACCTTTGGTTGCCTGGTAGAGAATGCCTTAGGCATTAAGTCCGCCAATGTAAATTTAACATAAAGTGTAATAAATAAATAAATAACCCTCGTCCAACTTAGGACTGTTTTGAGACGTGAGGTCAGCTTTTATTTTTCCTGTTTAGGTGAATGGACAAGCTCTCGGCCTACCATGGGTTAAGTGATTGACGGAGCCCATACACATCAACAACGCAAATGCAGTTACTCACTTTAGAGACATGAGTTCCAAGGTCTCAATTTTTACAGTTACAACAGCTTATCAGGGATGTTTGCAGACGCGCACATAGATTGTTTTTACGCTACCATGCGTAAGAGGTGTGCATCTCTGGTAAACAGAGTGAGGGCCAGCTCCAACAGTATCCTGAGCATGATCGCAAGCAGGCTGGACTGTATATACATGGGTCGCTGTGGTGCCATCTCCCATGGGATGTTACGACAGTAATTCATTGTAATGTAAATATAACTACTAACATAGGTCTAAGTCTTATTAACAATTTATATGAGTCATGGTTACTTGCAATAAAAAAAATATTATTATTATTATTAAAATGTATTTCTGCTTCACGGCAGAAATAGGCAGGGTGGTGGTACCCACCCGCGCGACTCACAGGACGTCCTATCACTTCTAGTTTCGTCGAGATCAAAATGTGTATAAAAGTTTTTCACTTTACGAATGAAAAGTGGAGAGTGTCAGAGGCAGGTCGGCCCCGGCAAGGTGTCGGGTTGGTTACCTCCTTCGTCTCCGGCTCGGCCGCCTTCAGCAGGTCGGTGAACGCGGTGCAAAGTTTCCTGGTGGCGTCCAACAGTCTGTCTCCGTTGTCGGAGTCGTCCATGAGGGCTGCGATCATCCTGACCCCGCGCGTCACCTCCGGCAGGTTGCTGGTGATGGTCGTGATGGCGGCACCCACTGCTGTGTGATCTACCTCTTCCGTTGGACCTGGATGCAAATTATTCCGTTAATTACAGTAGCAGAACTGCGTACGGAGGGTCGGGAGGGGGGGTTGGGAGGGGGGCGTACGAACCGGCGGTGAGGGTGACGACCTGCGCCGTGGCCGCGTTCATGGCCGCGATCTGCGAGCTGACGGCCTGCTTGTTGGTGTCCAGGGTCGACTGCTTCCATTTCACTGATGATGCGTCACCTCCCAGTTCGGGCAGGGTTGTCTGGAAGAAATATGTTAGTGTTTTATTTGATGTGGTAGACGACTAATTGACCCGAGCCTGCGTCTTAAGGTGTCAGCATTCAGGGGGACGGTAACGGTCAACTAATAACCCTGAAGCTGATCAACCTATTGTTAGACTTGCAGCGACGTCAGCTGGTCACTGTTACCCAGGGACATCGGACACATCGGGCGACATATGCTAAGGCTTCCTGCTCACCCTGCTGAGTCCTTCTTCGGTCTGCTTGATGATCTCCCTGCCGCTGGTGATGGTGGTCAGCAGGGCCCGCTGAGGCTCCGTGAGTATCGAGGTCACCTTGGTCTGCTGTACCTGCGACGCCTGCGACACACGGGACTTACATGAGTATCTACAATAGTGCACACTAGTAATTGTCCGAATCTGTGATTTGCTTTAATTTTAATTCGAATAAGCTGCTAATGAGGTATATGACAATTGACAAACAAACAGAAGTTCAGTCGCGTCGTGCCACGTCACTTATGACGTCACAATTCATGGTCTGTCAGCCAATATTATTGATATAAAGTGTAAGTTTAATTTTTAAAACATTTTGAAATATTTTTTCTTTTGAATGTGGTGGGGGTCAGTTGCTACGGTAGCCTTACAGAGGCGGAGGTCAGCTGGACCTGGACGCGTGGCGGACCCACGTGCGGTCGCTAATGATTAGACTCGGTCGGTATAAAGACATGACACATTTCTCAGCACCACAAATATTCTAATATCGTCTTCTCGTATTAAAACTGTATAATCTCAAAACTTACTAATTTTATCGAGGAGTGTTTTAAAGGTTTTAACATGAGATATTTTTAATACTTGTAGCGTCTATTTCTTAGAGGCATCTTGAGGTGGCCAAGAAAATGAATAAATGCGTTAACTTCTTCAAATGGTCATTATATTATTTTTAATTATGTTACAAAATAGAATTGAAATGCGCGTCCATTTTTTTTTCATATTTTGCCAATTTGTGCCACTATTGTGTTTCCTGTTTTGTGATTGGTTCGTGCGATATGACGTCATCGTTGACCAATCACAGCCATCAATGTATGACGCGACGTTGATTCTTTAACATATTAATCACCTTGCAACTTTTATTTTTTATTCTTTACCAGTTACATTATCTGTCTTTTAAAGTAAGATAAAATTGTGTATTAATTTTGTTAATAGTAGTCTAAAACATAGGTAAACTAAAAAAATAAAACAAAAAAACTAAACTACGCTCTTTTGACAGTATTTATGAGAAAAATACTAGTGATACCAAACGGCTCCGCATATTAAGTCAATTTCGAATATTGTATACTTTTAATGCGAAAAGACGATAATAATATATGGGTGTGCTGTGTGTGTGGGTAGGCCGTGGGTCCGCTTCGCGTCACACGGCCCGTGTGTACGTACGAAGGTCAGGGCGACGACTGTTCCGTCCGTGGTGTAGGCGTGTAAAGAAAAAAGTTCTTTTGTAAGTCTAACTTCAGTCAACCATTGCCGGCTCGGCGGCGAGAGGGGACACTTGTAGGGGCAACTTTTAGGCAGCGGCTCTGCCCCTGGCATTGCTGAAGTCTATGGGCGACGGTAACCACTCACCATCAGGTGGGCCGTATGCTCGTCTGCCTACAAAGGCAATAAAAAAAAAACTTGTGTTCCTCTTGTCTTAACAGTTTATATCTTCCATGTGAATGGATGGTAGAACTCAATCACACACTAGCTCCAGCCTACAATACAGAGATACAGCCCACCTATTTCTGCCGTGAGGCGGTAATGCGTTTCGGTTTGAAGGGTGGGGCGGCCGTTGTAACTATACTTGAGACCTTAGAACTTATATCTCAAGGTGGGTGGCGGCATTTACGTCGTAGATGTCTATGGGCCTAAGTAACCATTTAACACCAGGTGGGCTGTGAGCTTATCCACCAATCTCAAAAGATAGAACACAAGTATCCCATGTGTGACATCATCTCGGTGACAGTATAATCTAGTTTTCAAAACGACTGTCATTTCTTAGCCAATTTCTCGAGGCCCACCAAGGTTGGTGGACCACATTGTGTGACACTATCCCGACAGCCCTTAATTACCTTACGCGTCACCGATCGATCGGGTATGCAGATGCCCGCAGGTAAAAAGCATTAAGTTTCATCTCCACGCACTACAAGGCTATTTACAAACTCTCAACTAAAGCTTACAAAAAAAAAGCATAAGTATGGCGGAATATCTGACTGTTTTAGCAAGTATATTGTAAAAGATATCGGGAGCGTGACGTTTGTAGAGTGACGTCACAACAGTCGGACATGCCGCGGGCGGGGGGTTGGGGGGGTGCGTGTACTNAAGTATATTGTAAAAGATATCGGGAGCGTGACGTTTGTAGAGTGACGTCACAACAGTCGGACATGCCGCGGGCGGGGGGTTGGGGGGGGTGCGTGTACTAACGGCGGGCGGCGCGTGCCCCGTCACCACCTGCCCGGAGACCGTGGTCAGCTGCGCGCCCGTCACGTGCCCCACGGCGAACGGCTTCGCACCTGGACCAAATTGTACAGTGAGCACACGCCGGCCGGGGCCAAGCAGATGTCTCGCCCGCCAAGCTGTCTCGATTGCAAATAATAATTAAAAGCTTTGTACAAAGCTCTACACGGATCTGGCTCTCCGGGTGCCGTGGCTAGTGTCCATGGAACGGAACCTCAGGAGACAGCACCAGAAAGCGCTGACTGTGGCCCAATATCCTGTCCAGGGTTACCAGCATCATTTTTCAATTTTGCTTACTATTAAAGTTTTGTTTTTTTTAATGTTTTTAAACTAGATTTATTTCATGATCTGCTTGTCCCGGTGAGTTGCTGTCCACGGACAGGACTCGAGCCCACAGTTTCAATAAACTACTCAAGTGTGTTTATACAATGTGCACAGCCCTGGGGAGGACCCGGCGGACCCAGGCCGCGGCTGCAGAGGTAGATATCCTTGCTCCATTGAAGTACATCAGAAGAACATCTACCAGAACTTAGAGGGGAATAGCAGCGCTCCCGGCCGTGTGGTCCGTGGTCGCCTTACCTTCAGCTCCGGGCCGGTGCACCGCCGGCTTGGCGACCGACTCGGTGTTCACTTTACCGGACTTGAACGTGTCGTGCTGGATGATGTTCGCTCTGAGAATGGACGCAACATTAAGTAACATACAACGGGCAGGGTGGGGGCGCGCCATCAGCGGGAGCACTCACTTGGAGGGCGACACGGAGTCCTCGAGCATGGCGGAGCCCTCGTCCCCCTCGATGCCGAGGTGCTCCTTGGCCCGCTGCTTCCGCACGATAATGTCGATGTAGCCGGCGATGACCTGCAGGATCTGCTCCGCCTCCGTGGTCTGCACCGAGTAGTACTGGTCGCTGCAAGGAGCACACGCATCAGCACGAGTTCTCAAACCGCCATTGTATTGCAGTACAGTGATATATGGAATGATATGTGGAAGGATAGAGAAGTCGAGGAAGATCGCCAACCAAGTGGACGGAAATTGTAAAGGAGGTCACAAACACCAGCCTCCCGGGCGCCATTAAGCAGGACGAATGCAAGCAACGTTGGAGGAAGCTGGTGTAGAAACTAGACCAAGTTGGTCACGACCCCCAGTAATGAGGAAGCGACGAAGAAGAAGATATATACTTTATCTTACAGTCACGCGCTACGGAACTAAACGAGAGTGACGACCACCAGATGGGGCATATGATGAGGGCCTCAGCCTTTGATCAAAATAATATGTCTCGCAACAAAATTTTAATCTATATATATATATATATATAAATGAATTGCTGTTCGTTAGTCTCGCTAAAACTCGAGAACGGCTGGACCGATTTGGCTAATTTTGGTCTTGAATTATTTGTGGAAATTCAGAGAAGGTTTAAAAGGTAGATAAATATGAAAATGCTCGGAATTAAATAAAAATAAGAAATTTTATACAAAAGTTTAGGTTTTTTATTTATCGATTGAGGCACTACGAAGTCTGCCGGGTGGGTCAGCTAGTTTTAAAAAAATAAAGTGAATGTTTTGTATGTTTGTTGCGTATGAATCCCTAAGCGTGATCGTGATGGGTTTTGGGATCACCGCACATGTGACCACGGGGCGCAGGAGCGCGTTTGCCAAGGCCAAGTGCGAACATTCAAGGGTCTCACCTGTAATCGCCAAAGTCCAGGGTGAAAGTGTTGGGGCTGGCGCACCACCTCCTCACGGTGGTGAGCGGCCACGTCTGCAGGATCTCCTTCGTCTTCTCGTCCAATCTGAGCACGGAGTCCTTCGTGACTCCCAGAAGACGCGGTACCAGTTTGTTTTTGCCTTTCATTTTTTCCTGCGAGTTACAAAATCGGTATCTTAATGACCTCTGCTGCAAACTACCCACACGACCCACGTGGAACATCTCAGCTCGTCCCTGAGTTATCTCGACAGTGCCAAATCACCAGATCAAGAGTACACACATTGTCAAGCTTCATGGCGTAGTGTTCAACTTGCATCGCGTTATTAAACACTGACGTCATTGTACAAAACAGCTTTAGATAAAATAATAATTGTCTTGATCTGATCCATAGTGCGTATAGTATTATATCTTGTGAGTCCGCACGGGTACCACCGACCTACCTATTTCTGCCGTGAAGCAGTAATGCGTTTCGATTCGAAGGGTGGAGCAGCCGTTGTAACTATACCTGAGACCTTACAGCTCATATCTCAAGATGGGTGGCGCATTTACGTTGTAGATGTCTATGGGCTCCAGTAACCACTTAACACCAGGTGGGCTGTGAGCTCGTCTACCATCTAAGACATAAAAAAAAACGTGTGGCACCCGGAACTGCCGCGGTAAAGCTATTGCATAGCATTTTTTATCAACGTATGCAATTTTTTTTTTTTTTATTAGGTTCACACAACTTGTTGAAATTGAAATCTGCACACATAAACATTGAACTTATTTACATAAAATAAAACATTATAGAATTCACCCTTTTGGGTGTGAGCACATCTTGCTTAAGAGCGTTTGTGTAATTATAATTAGACAATTATAATTTAATATTAAAACAATAATAAAACAAGACCACTCTATATTAAACATTAATAAAAGCAAAACCTTAACTGTCCCCTTCACACTCATAAGCTAGACCGCGCGAGAGAGAGATGGGCAGACTTTTCATGATGCGCATGCAGTGTGACGTCACGCCACGCGCTTATTCACAAACACTACACAAGCGCAACGTGTGAATGTGTTGAACGCGATCTACATGGTAGACGGAAATTGTAGGCATTGTAAGGTTTTTTTCGTTACGGAATTTCATGATTCCGCTCTCAAGCCGCGATATAATCTATGCAATAGCTTAAAAAGTTGAGTGGTGAGACCTTGACGAGGAAGAATGCGACTCCGTAGGTCTTGAGGTCCCGCGCCGTCTTGGTGTAGAGCACCTTGGCGTCCAGCTCGCTGAGCCCGACGTGCTTCTTGTGCTCCCTGAACACCTTCTTCTCGATGCCTTTCACCTTCACGTACGAGGCCGGCAGGAACTCTTTTAAACTATAAATAATATAAACATTATTAAATAAAAATAGTAGACATGAAAGAAATGAAACTTTTTGTTCGGTGTATAGTATAGTGTTTTTTTTTATTTCTCATCCTTAAATCAACTTTTCCTTGCAACAGGGAATGCTGTGTATAACAGAAACGATCTGGCTTTGTCCTTTCCCTCTCTCCACTGTCGAGAGGTTAGCGAGACGCTCTATTTTCTCACTCTCGTTCTTCCTAAATTGTATCTTTTCTCTCGAGCCGTAACGAATCTGTTGCTATAATTTTTCACTGAATTTCTGCCGTTCTCGTTAATTTGCTGCGGCGATATGTGGTGTAAGTGTTCGATTAGTGTTTTTATTTTTTTATTTTTATCACTAACCCATAAAATGACAAAACTAAATACAATATCGATAACGCTTATCGACAACAATAATGCGCATCACTATGCCTGTCCATAAGGCTCGTGAGTGGAAGAGAGAGCGAAATACTCGCTGCACCGCTTCGATTTATTATGACCCAAACTGCACGGGCAAAATAATTCTAGTATAGTTAAATTTTACTCTCAACGCGTCTAAAGAAGTTTCACTTCAAAAGCTATATTGGCCGAATTGAAAATGTCCTATGATCCTCATTATGAGTTCCAAATACTAAATCAGTTCTCCAGCCGTCGACTAATATTGACATTTGTAGGCAGCGGCTTGGCTCTGCCCCTGGCATTGCTGAAGTCCATGGGCGACGGTAACCACTCACCATCAGGTGGGCCATATGCTCGTATGCCTAGAAAGGCAATAAAAAAAAAAAAATTGATCTGATCGACTTCGGAGTGTCATGGAGTGTCCAGTGAGGCTGGGCCGCTCGGGTTACATCAATATCTAAGCGAATCTTACTCGAGGAATCCTGGCGTGTGCTTGTCCTCCCGGTGGTCCCCGAACTGTATCTGGCACTGTATCCCGGCGAACTCGCAAGCTGCAACAACACACAGTGGGTTAGCACGCTGCACGCGAGTCTACACCACAGTGCTACTGATATTGACACCTTTTTTTTTATTGCTTAGATGGGTGAACGAACTCGCAGCCCACCTGGTGTTAAGTGGTTACTGGAGCCCATAAACACCTACAACGTAAATGCGCCACCCACCTTCAGATATAAGTTCTAAGGTCTCAGTATAGTTACAACGGCTGCCCCACCCTTCAAACCGAAACGCATTACTGCTTCACAGCAGAAATAGGCGGGGTGGTGGTACCTACCCGCACGGACTCACAAGAGGTCCTACCATCAGTAAATCACGTTTCAAGACGGTGACACTATAGGAGCAGATAAGCCTTGAGCTCATTCACCTCTCTGACACAGCAACTAGAGTGATGTATCTTATGGAACCTTGGACCTCATATGGTCATTCCAATACCTTTCTCCTGCGTGGTGGGGTGCGCGCCGGCCAGGATGGCGTCCCTGGCCTGCACGTACAGCAGGGTGAGCTGCACGGGGTCGCGCGAGTCCACGTTCCTGTCAGAGTAGAACAGCTTGCGGCGCAGCAGTAAGGTCTCGCCTGCCTCCACGCCCTGCTCACGAAGGGTCAGCGACCCCTCCACCCAGTTCACTGTAACATTCATATGTACTCTATGCAATCACTCATCATTCTTGTGACGAAACTGCCGTCAGATTTGAATCGTTAATGACTGAGAGAAGAACAGTAGGATAACAATGATTAAGCCCATTACGGATACGTCACATCTGTACGTGTTCGCCACGTAACACTCTGTTGTCTTCGTGAGGACATCAGGGTTGTCTGACGGGGCAGGAGCCAGTGATAAAAATACAAGACGAGCTTCAAGTGTAATCTCAGCATATGGGCATCATGACAACGTGACTGCGTTCCCTTGAGACATGGGGATTAGTCTCAACGATTCAAAAAACCGAAGAGCATGACAGCCTCATGGCAGAAATAGATCCAGATGCCCATACGTACGCCGCCCACCAGTAAGTGCGGACCACAAGACGCTGGTGCGGTGCTCTAAGAATGCTACTGGTCATTCTCCGGTAAATCCCTTAGTCGCCTTTAACATCTATACATATAAATAAAATTAGAGTGTTTGTTTGTAATATTGAAATAACCGCTTTTTACTACCAGCATATGAATATATATACGGTACATACACCAAAATATCATTTTTTACAATTTTTGTCTGTCTGTCTGTTTGTTCCGGCTAATCTCTGGAACGGCTGGACCGATTTTGATGAGATTTTCACTAATAGGTAGCTGATGATATAAGGAGTAACTTGGCTACTTTTTTTAGACTAGCTTCGCCCCGCAGCGTCACCCGCAGTTATTGTCGTACCGCGCTAGTTAAAATATAGATTTATTGCGTCCATCATCACGTACCTTCGTCATCAGTTCTGAGTTTCTTCCTGAGCTGCTCCATCTTGGCGTCTCGTTCCTTCTCCTGGTGCTTACGCTTCAGGGTCAGAGTCCCGTAGTTTGGCTTCTCGCAGGGATCCGGTTCCTCCTTTTGCTCTTCACGAACCTGGTGTTGAGACGACACACGTTATTATAACAATCATTCACTATTAAACAATTGCCAATCCATCGCTCCACATTATATCGCCCCCGCGGGTAAAACAGGTGTCCATAATTTGGACAGGTGTTCTGAACGCAAATAATAATTAATCTAATAGTTTGCTGGCAAGTTCACAATCAATGATTACTTTGACTGTTAAGATTACTTCGGTTTTGAGGGTAATCGGAGAAAATGCTTTTATTTTATTGCTTAGATGGGTGGACGAGCTCACAGCCCACCTGGTGTTAGGTGGTTACTGGAGCCCATAGACATCTACAACGCAAATGGGCCACCCACCCTGAGGTATAAGTTCTAAGTCAATTCTTCATGTTTTTTAATTTATATTGTAGACATTATGACATCTTTGTTATGCCAATATAAATAAATGTTCGCGGATTTAGTTGTCTGCGATCCTCCATGAGAGGTTTTTATATTTATTGCCCTTGTAGGCAGACGAGCATACGGCCCATCTGACGGTGAGTGGTTACCGTCGCCTATGGACTTCAGCAATGCCAGGGGCGGAGCCAAGCCGCTGCCTACCGTTTAATACTCTCCACAAGCCTCGTTTGAAGAAGGACATGTCATAGCGCGCGGGAAACACCGTGGAGGGGAGCTCATTCCAAAGCCGGATGGTACGTGGCAAAAAACTGCATCATGGAAGCCAGGGGTCGTTTCGACGCTGCTGGTGTGAGTGGAGCCACACAATACGCAACTCACCAGGCCGTATTCGTCATAGTTGGTGATCCCGATCTTGGTGCAAATCACTACCATGAGGTTCGCGACGATCTGACTGTCGTCCACCAGCAGGGTTTTCACAGTACCTGCAGTACAAGCTTGTATCAAAACGAGCTTCCATATTGATTATAATTATCATTTGTTTCGCTAACGCGCAATGTAAAGTGAACCGTGTGCTCACATTAGATTGTGAAGGCCTATATCCAGCAGTGACTGGCCAGAATATTATAGTCACTATCTCTAATAAAGACCTTTGGACTAAATGTGACCAAAATCCCATCGCGCAAGACATTGCTCATCGGAAATGGCGTTGGATAGGACACACTCTACGGCGCAGCGGAGTCAACGCAGTATCAATCGCGTTTGAGTGGCAACCGCTTGGCAGGAGAAGACCTGGTCGCCCTGTACACACTTGGCGACGCACCGTGGAGAGTGAGATGAGGACTGCCAACGTGACCTGGAGTGATGTCAAGGAGCAAGCGCAAGACAGGGTAAAGTGGAGACAACTTGTGAGGGCCCTATGTACCAGCGGGATACCCTAGGACTACAACAACAACAACAATATCCAGCAGTGGGCAGATCAAGGCTGATGATGATGATGATGATGATGATGAGATTGTGTTACATTGAGTGTTGTTTTTATTTTATTTTATTTTTATTGCCTTTGTAGACAGACGAGCGTACGGCCCACCTGATGGTAAGTGGTTACCGTCGCCCATGGACCTCAGCAATGCCAGGAGCAGAGCCAAGCCGCTGCCTACTGCTAAAACCTGTTGTGTTAGGTATTTAGTAGTGTAGTAAATTCCTGCATGTTTCTGCCATGATGCAGTCATGCTTACCAGTTTTAAGGGTAGGAGAGCCCTTATTATAGAACTATTATAATAACACTATATGTCAATAACGATATCAAAATGTGGTACGATTTGACAGCCCTAACTCACCTATCTCAAAAGATTTCGATGATATCTATAAATTATTAATAGCTCACCATCAAGCATCCTGACTCTGAGATTCCTGGTCTTCTTGTTGTACTCCAGAAGATCTCCGTTCCTTAGCATGTAATAGTCGAGACTTCGGGACGCTTCCAGCCATATCCCCTTCTTGTTGTCTTCCTCCGAAGCCAAGAAGAGGCCATACTCTTTTGCTGTTTGAAAAGAAAAACTACAATTAGCATCAGCTGTAAGAAGTTGTGTTTTAGGTATTGCAGATTATCAGAAACAATGATAATCATAAAGCTTTGTTCTTGGCTTTCAAACCAACCCGTTTATGTCTGAAAATCAGCCATAATAAAGCTAGTAATATTAGGTATTTAGGGGTGTGGAATTAAGATTAACTTAGAAGATACATCCTTGACTGGTGGTACTTTACTGGTGGTAGGACCTCTTGTGAGTCCGCGCGGGTAGGTACCACCGCCCTGCCTATTTCTGCAGTGAAGCAGTAATGCGTTTCAGTTTGAAGGGTGGGGCAGCAGTTGTAACTATACTGAGACCTTAGAACTTATATCTCAAGGTGGGTGGCGCATTTACGTTGTAGATGTGCCTTCAAACGAGGCTTGTGGAGAGTATTAAGCAGTAGACAGCGACTTGGCTCTGCTCCTGGCATTGCTGAAGTCCATGGGCGACGGTAACCACTTACCATCAGGTGGGCCGTACGCTCGTCTGCCTAAAAAGGCAATAAAAAAAAGATGTCTATGGGCTCCAGTAACCACTTAACACCAGGTAGGCTGTGAGCTCGTCCACCCATCTAAGCTATAGACTAAAACCACATAAGGACCTATAAAGAAGTCTATTGCAATACGGATGGTACTTACGGTCTCCCGCTGTGGCCTCCAAGATCTTTTCCCTGATGATGCGGCACGCGTCGTACACTGTGGTGGAGGGTTCGAACTGTATTGTCTTCACGACCTTGCCTCCGTCAATGGAGATCTTCAACGATAGGGTCGCCATCTTCACCAGAGACCGAGTCCTGGTACGGAGAGACGTGATTAGTAAAAAAATGATTTGGGTAAAACTGTTTAACTTGATTCGGACTGCAGCAATGGAACCTTGCAACTCTGATTGTTTATGGTCTTTGCAGACAGACCTTTTATTTTCCTACCTAAGCTGATAGCCTTGAGAGGCTATATCAGCGTAACCTTAACTAGTAGCTGAGCTCACGGGGCTCAAACCTGACGACGTTGCTAACACGAACCCTAGCAAGGGCCGTGCTTCGCAGAATCTACCACCGGATCGGAAACGCGACCCACTGAGAAGATCCGGCGAGAAACTCAGTGGGCTGTGTCTGTGGGTTACTTTACTCGTCGAGCCCTTCGTCGCAAGCGACGAGTTCTACGAGAACGATGACCGGTAGACAGACCAGCATACGACACATCAGCAATGGCCGAAACATAACAAAGCCGTTGCTGAGGACTCTTCCCATTACCTTGTTTGAAGAAAGACATGTCATAGCGCTCAGGAAACAGTGTGAAGGGAAATACAATTCAAACCCCGATGGTATCTGGCCAAAAAGATCTCCGGAAACACAATATGGAAAAACGCGTGGCTCTAGTTTCGATTCATACAATCCTCAGAGCAGATTTGAAAGGTACGAAAGTCGTTGGTTCTGTGCAGTTGAGACCGCGACCTCATGTCTCAACGTGGTCGACCGAATTCTCGTGTTTTTTTTTATATAGCCAGGCTTATTGTCGTTCGAACGGGGTGTGGTTTTTCTAAAAAGAGCCGTAGTTTTATGCAGATAAATTATTAATGACAAAATTAAGGGTGAACAAATCAAAACCAATCTTCCATCTCCGTATTATTTCGATTTAGTATGAAATACATAGTTTAGATGCAAAATTAAAGGTGATTGATGTGTCAATAATGTGACTATTTCGTTAAGTATCTTGTGATGGTGTGTCATCGGTGACCTCATTAGAGTAATTCGAAATTTAATTTAAATCAATTTTGTATTTACAAAATAAAACTGGTCATTATTACAATTACAATTAAGATTTATTTGTCCTAATGTTGACTAAGTTTTTTCTTGTATTTAATTAGAATATCCTAGTAGACTATCCCAAAGGTAATAGTATTGTGTTTTTAGAAACTAACTTGTGTATTGTAGCAGTATGATCGGGTCTGTAGTCGAGGTCTGAGCAAGGCGCGCTGCCTCGCCTCTGTGGCCGATGCTCTTTACTGAACGATCTCAGGCGAGGACGACTTGGAGATGAACCCTGGAATAAGGGCAATGTTTATACAAAAATAAAATAGTTCCATGATCGCAAACCAATCATCGACCTGTAGAGGAAAAACGGGTTTTATTTGTCCATATAATTCCTTGATTTCGTTCCCGGTTTTTGATGTGAAACATCTATAGCCGCACGTAAAACCAATTTCTGGCGTGGCGACGCATGCCGTGGCGACGCGTCGCCATGCGCAATCGACTGTGCGATTCTCTCCCACTCGATCCGGCGTTAAGCCATCTCTCTCGCTACACTGAGCTCGGATACCTATAGTGTATACTCCGTAGTGTATACAGTGTTGTTTACTACAGTACACATAACCTGTGTTTTACTTGAAAACAAATTATTTTTTCGTAATATTTTGTTTTATCATTATGACATATTTAGTTCCTATCACAATCTGTTCTTTTCTACATATTACGTTTACAAAATAATGTCGATGTTTCACATCTGCCAGGCGTCCCGTGACGGCTCACATTTTTTTAATTATGATTTTTGGTTTTCCTTAGTAATTATTTTCTACCTTATGATGCATGTCTATTGCTAGCCAGGCACTCATATTTTTAGTTTAATTAATCTCTGTCGTAAATTACATTAATTTTTAACATATTAGCAACAAAACAAACACAAAACTAATTATAAGAAATATACATTTTTTTTATAGAAAAAAATAAATAATTCGCACATGTTTTGAAAAACGATAATCAAAAATACGTAACATCCTTCTTTTCATTCAATTCGAGCTCCTAGGTCGAGAACATATTGAAAGCTATTCTCTAAATAAATTAATCTTCAATACCGGGGTTTCCACTTAAGTAACCAGTACCCCTACTGGCTGAGCCTTTACTCGCCCCCCTGTCCTGGCGAAACTAAAAAGGCCTCCAGGACACCAGTAATCCCTCATTCATAAAAAAAGTGTGTGTGTGTGTGTGCAAGTCACACACGGTAGAAGTGAAACTTATAAATAAGATATAGATATACTGACTATCCCACTACACAGGAGCATACATATGGACAATGTTCAGTAGACGATAGTGGGGATGCTACGAAGAGTCGCACAATGAGGAGAGCGAGAACGTCTAATGTGTTCTATCTCGTTCTCTCGCCGGCTGAATGCTATACATTTATGTGTTTGTGTCTCTGTGGACTTATTTTTTCGTTTCGTTTCATTTCGTTACATCGAGTTTGAAATCACAACGATTCTAAAGAAGTTTCCCTTCAAAACGTAACGAGTATAAGTTCCACTTACAGGTCGGGTTGTGGTCAGTCGTCTCCAGTTATCCTGCAGCGCCCTCTCGACTCGGTCGCGGATCCGTCACGAGAGCGACGGTGCTTCCAATGATGAGTCCTCGTTCGATATCTGTAAAAGGAGAACCTGGTGTTTGATAATAGTGCCTCATAAGGTACTTTAGTAGCGTTGCGGGCACGCACGGGCGCACCGGTCTTGCTATCCTTCCATCGCGAAGCAGGAATGGCTTAAAGGATGGATGCTATTTTTAGGCTCTGGTAATCACTCAACATGAGATAGATGGGCGTTGAAGTCATTTGCTTCCTTATAAAACCATACTAGATGATGACCAAGCTTTGTTCGGTTTTTTTTTTGATAACGCCATCTTGTTGTGTCTTTAAAGCGGTTAGTTGCCCTCAATTAAGAAAAATAGTATTATTATTCGCCAATAGATGTCGGGAAGAGTTGATTATTGAAAACACGAATAAAACAACATTTTCTGAAAATAAATCGTAGCTAGATCGATTTATCGCCCCCGAAATCCCCTGTATACTAAATTTTATGAAAANTATTATTCGCCAATAGATGTCGGGAAGAGTTGATTATTGAAAACACGAATAAAACAACATTTTCTGAAAATAAATCGTAGCTAGATCGATTTATCGCCCCCGAAATCCCCTGTATACTAAATTTTATGAAAATCGTTGGAGCCGTTTCCGAGATTCAGATTATATATATACAAGAATTGCTCGTTTAAAGGTATAAGATAAGATAAGATAAACTTCCGCGAGTCTGTTACTAATCACGATTATTCTATTATTATATTTTTCCCCTACCCAATCGTTGGTAGCCAAGGGGCTATTTCAACTACGACCGGTAGGTCAGCTCACGGGCTCAACCTGAGAGAATTTGCTAACACTAGCCCTAGCAAGAGTAGTACTTCGCAATATGGGCATCGAAATTCTGGCCCCCGTGATCTTGAGGTTGCCAGGGCCACGCCCGAATAAAAACGCACGCACGATTGACAAACCTTCGTATTTATTAGAAATATAGGTTCAAAAACCAACAATTCTCATCATCAATAATAAGCTACCTGATGCTATAAAAAAAGACAAATTATTTTTATTTAAAAAGAACTTGAAAGAATTATTAACCTTAAGATGTTATTATACAGTTTAACGATTTTTTAAATGATAAATCATTATGTTAATTTTAAATTCGCTTCTTTCTGTTTTATGTTTTCGTTTTATGACATAAATAACTAATTAATATTCAATTAATTTATTTTGTTGTTTGATATTTTAATTAATTAATATATTTACTGACTGCGTTTAAGGTAAATAATTTTGAATAGTATTTGCACGCCGACCTAATAGAAACACGCTGTTCTACAAAATAACTATCAACAACTTTGTAAACCGTGTTTTCTATACTAATATTATAAAGAGGAAAGATTTGTTTGTTTGTTTGTTTCGAATAGGCTCCGAAACTACTGGACCGATTTGAAAAATTCTTTTTCCATTAGAAGCCGACATTGTCCCTGATGAACATAGGCTACTTTTTTTTATTTTTTTTTAATTTTATTTTTTTGGTTTCATGTGTATTTTAATGTTTCCGAAGCGAAGCGAGGGCGGGTCGCTAGTAGCTAATAAAGTTGATTTGATTTGATCAAATTCCGTCAAATATTATAATTGGAAAGCATACAAATTTTCAGACATACTACATTAATTTAATTAACGAACAACAAAAGTTCTAAGAAACATTCGGGTCGCGTCCGACATTCGACGCAGGGCATCGAAATAATTATGACAGCATCCGCGGTCCGACGCAGAGCGCCCGTAAACATAGCGCTCATTCAAAAATAAGATATTCGTAATGTTTCCAACAAGTTCTATAACTAGTATAGCTCGTCTTTTTGCATTAAAAGTGTACAATTTCCAAATATATTCGAAATCGAGTTAATATGCGGAATCACTTGGTATCACCAGTATTTTGTCACAAATCTATATATTAATACGTGAAGCAAAAACTTTGTATTCCTTTTTACGAAAACTGCGCGGACGGAGGAGTATGAAATTTTGCACACTTATAGAGAATATAGAGAAGAAGTGCACAATGCTAATATATTTTTTAAATAATGCGTAATAGATACATTAAATCAATAAAGAAAACATTACACACACTACATAGCATGTATTTGACGCACACACGCATGCATACTATTTATTGTCAAACTTTTGTTCTTGACGTCTGTTGTCAAATTGAGAAGAGATTAATTAATTGTTGGTCTTTATTAAAAAAATTTATATAGTCTTGGCGAAATTTGTGATTATAGAAGTATAGAATACAATCTTAATAGTGTACAAACTTGCAATTCCAATTAATTATAGTCGAATTTCGACTACTGCGGGACCTCTAGTACTGTTAAAAGAGCGTAGCTTAGTTATTTTTTTTTTATAGTTTACCTATGTCTTGACTACTATTAACAAAATTAATACATCATTTTATCCTACTTTAAAGACAGATAATGTAACTGGTAAAAAAAAATGTTGCAAAGATGATTATCATTAAAAATGTTAAACCTTTTTAAAACACTCTCCTGTAAAATTAGTAAGTTTTGTGATTACAGTTTTAATGCGAGAAGACGAACTGTAGCTAGCTAGCTCCGTTTAGAACTAAGGGCTATTATGTGTTGGAAACCCAACAAAATTGGTATAAAACCTTTTTTATTGTTGTGGTTGTGGTTTTTGACATTACGTTTGAATTTGAATTTTGGAATGTCTTAGTTTTGTCATTCTCTTTTCATCCGTGCTATTGTACGCGATTTATAAAATTGTAAAAATATACAAATTTTATACGTGCACTCCTCGCGAGTTTATTTATCAAGTTCCTTGCCCATCCTAATAATACAGTCCACTACATTATGTATTGACTTCAGTTTCCGCGAAGCCCACACATAAACATACACAGACTTTTACGGTTTTATTACGCATCACTACATAGTATAAAACAAAGTCGCTTTCTCTGTCCCTATATCCCTATGTATGCTTAAATCTTTAAAACTACGCAACGGATTTTGATGCGGTTTTCTTTAATAGATAGAGTGATTGAAGAGGAAGGTTTATATGTATAATAACATCCATTAAAAAGTGGAGAAATCAATAATAAATTACGGTTTCCGAAGCGAAGCGAGGGCGGGGCGCTAGTTTAGTAATATATTATACTAGCTTTTGCCCGCGACTTCGTCCGCGTGGAATAGTTACTTGGCATAATGCTAAATTTAACCTTTTTTTTATTTCCAAGCTCACAGCCCATCTGGTGTTAAGTGGTTACTGGAGCCCATAGACTTAGATTGGTGCTCCGTTTGTATTGGTCTTAGCGTGATGTTAGCCTATAGCCGTCCTCAATAAATGGGCTATCTAACACTGAAAGAATTTTTCAAATCGGACCAGTAGTTCCTGAGATTAGCGCGTTCAAACAACTCCTCAGCTTTATAATATTAGTATAGATTAGTATAGATTGGCGGATGAAAGGCGATTGCATGCAGCAGAGATGCGAATGTTGCGATGGATGTGTGGAGTAACGAGAATGGATAGAATACGGAATGAATATGTTAGAGGAAGTCTGAAAGTGGCACCTGTGACAGAGAAGCTGAGATTTGCGCGTTTGGGATAATATGGACATGTCATGAGACGAAATGAAAATGAGGTTGTTAAGACAGTGTTAACTATGAATGTGGAAGGATTTAGAGGAAGAGGTAGACCTAAGAAGAAATGGATGGATTGTGTGAAAGACGATATGGGTAGGAGGGGAGTGAGCGAAGAAATGGTATATGATAGAAGAGTATGGAAGGAGAAAACATGTTGCGCCGACCCCAGGTGACTGGGAGAAGGGCAGGATAATGATGATGATGATGATGATTAGTNGTGTTAACTATGAATGTGGAAGGATTTAGAGGAAGAGGTAGACCTAAGAAGAAATGGATGGATTGTGTGAAAGACGATATGGGTAGGAGGGGAGTGAGCGAAGAAATGGTATATGATAGAAGAGTATGGAAGGAGAAAACATGTTGCGCCGACCCCAGGTGACTGGGAGAAGGGCAGGATAATGATGATGATGATGATGATTAGTATAGATTGCCCTTGTATTATTTACGCAAGAAAAGTGTAAAAGATAGGTCGGATATCGCCATCCTGACTGTGAGACAGCCGTTTTGAAATACAATTGAGAATTAGACCTCATTTCTCACGTAGCGTGGAGGCACTCACCGGAGTCCGATCCGGAAAATGCTCGGAATTAAATAAAAATAACAATTTTGTTTTCCCTTTGATGTGTCTCCCGTCGGACGGATTCCTTTTGATTATTTTAAGTTTATTTTATACAAAAGTTTAGGTTTTTTAGTCATCGATTGAGGCACTACGAAGTCTGCCGGGTCAGCTAGTGTTAAATAAAACTTTCTTACTGCATAAAATTTATATGAAACTCCTATTAATACAGGATTAATATATAATTCATCTAGGTAATGTCAATATTAAACCCCCTTAGAGAGCCAAGACTGTTAGTCAACTAGCCTACCTTCAAGTTCATCCCAGAAACTATTTCATTCGTACTTCCAAAAATTGCGCAATAAAAAACCTACGCGATGGCATTTCGTGTGGTCCCGATGGAAACGAAAAGCCCACGCGTAAATCAACCCACGGCGTTGGGCGTTAGAGCCCAATTCAGCCTACGCCGCGATTTCCATTAACACTACTAGTGAACTCATTAAAAAACCCATAGCAATAAGCGAAACGGGTTATTGCATGCAGTTTTGCATAAAAAAGCCTTTAGGCACCCTCCACAGTTTCGGGAGGCCGGTGGAATAAGGAATTTTAATAGTTCCAAGTGAGAGCTTTTGGGTACATCTAGAGACGATATGGAATTTATACTGACGACCGTGATGAAGTTTTAAATTTGATTGAAAAGTTATGGAGGAATTTAAATGGGGGCAGTTCATTAACTGCCCCCATTTAAATTTTTCATGAGTTGGGAGAGTATGTGATATTGTGTAAATAGCCTACTGATGTTAGGTACTACATTCCCAATCCTGCGGACAGAATGGAAAGCAGTCGACGTCGCCCACAGCACGTCAT